AAGGCAGGAACTTATAAAAAAAAAAAAAAAAGATTACTGTTTTGCAAAAAGTGACATTATGCAGTCTCAAAGATATTTACCAAAGGTTCAGAGAAACCTACTGCTTTCGGCTTCTGTGTTCAAGAGGTTCGCCAAAACATAGGTAAATATGAAATGATTCACATGAAAGAGCCCCAGAATTAATAATTATATATCACACAATAATTTACCAATGAAAATGACACACAGAATATACTGTGTACTTTGTAACACTGACATGGTTCTTGCCAGCCCGTCTGCTTGTCATACCATTTAAAATATGTTACTGACCGAAAGTAAAGCAATTTGGATGTAAGAACAGTGATATTACTGAAGTACGATCGAAATGTTTCTGTCAGTGTTCCACCATCACTGCACGATTTGATGCCTTTTTTTTTTAGTTTCTTACACAAAGACATCCTCAGTAAACTACACAGTACCAACCCGCCCTCTTGTTCTGGTAGAGGTAAGGTGAAGTTGTCCCTGTGCTTAACTAATTAAGCACTACGCCATGAGGACGTGTGGGGGAGTGATGTATAGATCCACATTTTCTTGACCTCGGCACTATTTGGAGTTGAGTGGTCAGCTTCAGGCCCCGGCTGCTTTAACCCCGGGAAAGAGCCCCATGTACCTATTGTATACGAGGTTGGGTGGACTTCCAGAGCCTGTCTGGAGATGGAGAAGTGAAAAATCTTGACCCGACTGGGACTCAAACTCTGGCCTCTCGGTTGTCCAGCCCATAGCCAGTCGCAATACCGAGTACGCTATCCCCTCTTGTTCTGGTACTGACTACAAATATTAATTTCTTCTGCTAAGAATTTCATGTTGTGCGTATGGAACATACATATATAGCAGGCGAAGTTCTGAAAAAATCTGGCATTTGCATGTGCATGGATTCAAATATGGAGATCTTTGTAACTATGTTTCTGGTAGAGATCTGAGGTTTTCATAGTGACAAAAATTAAGATTGTGGTTTTCTGGATTATGACACATGTAATTTCATAAGCAGTTATCAATGTTATGGAGGAACCAGTTATGTCCATCCTCAGGGTATGCAGGGAACCATACATGAAACTACACGATGTCATAACCTCAAAAACCACAATCTTATGTTTCCAGTAAGGATGTCTGCATCTGCATTCAACAAAAGGTCACTGCAATAGGATGTCAAGGACTAACATATAAACACATAGTACATTGTTCCTTAAAGGACTCATAATGACTATTTTCCTTTCACGCAGTCTTTTGCAGTCCTACAAATCTTGTGCTGTTAGTGTCACATTAAAGCAACATAAATTCATAATACAACAATATAATGCCATTTAGGTCTTTGGTTAGTATGCTAGACTTGTACAGATGGAAACATAATCAAATGCTGCTGAAATCAGGCCTATTAATGCTTGCAACTATAAATAAGTCACCAACCACTGCTGTCTACTTCTTTTGGGAAAGAACATACCACATAAATATACAGATTCTGTCCATATTAAATCTATCAAATATAACCTCAAAGTTTGATACTGCTGCCACGTTTATAACTGATGACTTACAAACATATTCATATCTATGTAATATTTGAGATTTTCACAGTGGTGACTATGAAGAGAGCCGTCTCCTGGGATGTGGCACTGTGTAGAAATTGTGTTAACAGTCTGTTGCACCTACTCTAGCTGGTTTGCTCACAGATTTCTCGTCTTCCACCCTGAAGATGGTGGTGACACATTCCTTCAAAACGTCGGTTAATACAATTTCTATACGGTGCCACATCCCAGAAGACAGCTTTCTTCATATTCATATCTAATTTGTAGTAATGTTTACATTATATTATCATACAGTTTCTTATTCCTAGCTCCAATTCTGCATTAATTATTGCTGTAGGAATGACCCTCCCTACATTAAGTGTCGCTCTGACCTCGCTGTATTGTGTGATGCTGTGTTATTATTTATTGTAGGAATTTAAGAAGTACAAGATTGGTGTAGTCTGGAATGGTACACTGTTCATACCAAATTTCGAGAAAAACCTGTCAACAGTTCAAAAGATTAAACGAGGAGACACATACACACAGACAGCATGGTAATATCACATGCCTACTTTATTTCCTGTGAGGGAGGATGTAGAATTACATCATCATGCTCAAAGGAACCTGCTGTCTCCACTCTACTGACCTCAAAATGGGTGTGGTGGGTTCTTCCAAAATGTTAGTCCTATCTACCAAACTATAGAGTACTATATCCCAATACTAACTCACCAAATGGTGAATATAAAATATCATACTGCCACCTACATTTCCCACAAGCACTGTAGCCCACATATCTCAGGCAGCAGGATGGGCAACTAAGGAATTTGGGTTTGATTCCTGGCAGGGGCCAGAGATTACTTCTGTTCCAGAATCCTAACCAGGCCTAAGGTTCACCAATCCTTGTATCCAACTGGTATGAGAGGCTGTTCCCCCAGGGATAGAACAGGCAGGGCTTCAAGCTAACCACTCACCTTTCAGTGCCCAGATTATGCATCTCCCCTCCCTGATATTTCTCCACGGCATGGTGTTTAATTAAGCGCAGAGACAACTTTACTTCAGAAATACTCTCCTGCTGTTCTCAATGCCAGAATTCAGTGGTTTATTTCCCCCACTGCACATTTCTTTTGACTAGTAAAGAATATTACCCATTTGTTTATTACCACAAATAAAAATACTGCTAAAAGAAATGTATATTTGCAGGGTTTGGTCTTATATAATTTCCTTCCGCATTCTGAGCAACAGCGTCTGAGCTGCTGTCAGCATCATTAACTTAAAACTAAAAACTCCGTGGCCTGTAGCCCGCAAGCGAACTATACCGACCGAGCAACTGCTGCTTGTCGGCAAAGTTAGGGCCAACTTTCTGCGGACAAAGGGTGTCGCGTGGTCAGCACAAAGAATCCCCATGGCTGTTAATCTCGGTTTTCTAGACCGCAGCCGCTACTTTTCCATTCAAGTAGCTCCTCAATTACACTCACGAGGCTGAATGGGCCCCATTCCAGAGCCACTACTTCTCAGAAAATCTGGTAGCGCCAGGAATCGAACCCAGGACCTCTGGATCTGTAGCCAGGAACTCTGACCACTAGACCAGAGGTGCTCTTCGTTAACTTAACTGTACATAAATAACACAAGCAGAATTTCAAAAAAGGGGGAGGGAGACAACGAACGTAAGACAACTGAGAGTACAGTCACAGTATTGCAGCTACCTTCATTCTGTGCGCTTTTCCTCCCACCACTTGCCATTTGTGTATTCTGCCTTTCATTCCACCTATCAGCTCTCCTTCTTAAAATTCTCATGTTTTCTCAGTAGTGAAAGGTGTACAATGTACATAAAATGACAGGAGCAAGCAGCTGACCTTAACCTCCTACCTGTATTCATTCTTTTCCTGACCCAAGAGCTGTGACTTAAGAACATCCACTTAATTGTTCATTCCATCACACTACATCTCATGTGAAAGTTTCACCTGAAGCAACTCAATGAGCACCACAAATGTGGGCGTGTCCTAACAATGCCAGACACGACGTGGGAGGATGTCATGCTGTATATGTAAAAAAAAAAAAAAGGAATCGTCCGATTTGACACATCAACCAGATGTCGAAGACAAGAAAAAAAAAAGCAACTCGATGGACATAACAAGAAGAAGAACTCAAATCCATCACACTGCTCACACAAGCCTCAAACTGCAAATTGGAATCAATATCAGATACATGATTCAAATGGGAATTTTCACACGTAGGGAGTACACAAAATTATTTACACAATAGTAGCATAACAAGGCCATATCATACCTCAGGCAATCAGTCACTGGCTTCCCGTTGTGGGAGCCCAGGTTCAATCCCCGATAAGGGAATGAGGGATCTATGGTGGACAAGTGACACTGTGACAGGTTTTCTCCGAATACTTCGGTCACCCTTGTCAATTCTCATTCCACTGACTGCTTCTCTTTCAGTAACACCTCTTCATTAACAGTCTCAGTTTCAACGGCATCATTCAATAACACACTCATGAATCAAAAATGTTTTTTTTTTATTTCACTGTCGCATAACAATCAGCGAAAATATTAATATAAATTCACACCGAGGTACTTCCTGCAGACACAAGCCAATCTCTCAACAAGTTTTCAGCAACTATATACATTACTGAAGTGCTTAAATCCCGCTTTTCATGAGTCACTACCCTTTGGTTTTTAAATGGATGGGGCAGGAATCCCAAGGTTACAGAAGAAGTACATAAGAGCAAGAAATATATGAAGTTCCCATCCTTACCAATAAAAATTTTTATGTGTAAAAATACATCTTTTCATATACGGTGCAGACTTCAGTCCCAAACTTATATTATCATACATGAAGAACAGTTTTGAACCTTATATCATGCTTGCCAAAAAAAATAAACTGACAAACTAAAAAAGTGAGAATAAAACTGGTGTCACTTTGAATATATGTCTAGCATAAGTCCATAAGTCCTACACCACTGACTTCTTTGGTGAAGTGCGCTACTCGATCTGTTACACTCTCAAACAACTCCATTTCTGGTAACCAGGGCAAGGCACACTGTACTTACATTCAAAACGTAACGAAAATATGCGCACGGATGTTGTCAAATCAGACAAATTTATACGTGTTGGTTTTCAAAATTTGTGCGACGATTATGGTTATAAAGAACGCTACTGTGAAATACAATACTAACATTACACGTTACTGCAACAACCTTTCCTAACCTAGAAGTACGAATTCCCGCTCTCATGAACCCTTTTTTTTTAGTTTGTTTACATCCCATGTGCACTGACTATTTATATCAATTATACATAAGAGACTTTCAAATTTGGCTAGCGGCTTTATTGGAGACACCATGACGTCTCTCTGGAGTTGTCTTTCCTGAGACCTTAGACCAGTCTGACATGTTAACCGTACTTAATGGAAGACTACTACTTCAACGGTTAGACAGTAACAGTATAAAACACTTACCCGGCCTGGCCAAGGGGAAAATCCTTTCATTTTTGCCCTGAAATTAAATGTGCCAATCAGTTAACACTAAAAGACAGCCATATATAACATATATCACTGAAATTCACTCAGAATTCAATTTTTACCGCTTCAACTTACCACACTAAATCACCTATCTTAAATACCTCCGCCATGGTCTCCACTCAACTGAACTACTATGCGGCGGATGAAAGTATAGAGAATTATGGGTATAGCGTCCCTTGCTGCTCGTGAGGAACTTTGCACGCAATTTAAAAAATGTTCAAATTCCCTGTTTAAAAATACACAAGTAAAGCTCCAATTACCATAGAGTCAGAACTTAATTATTTCACATTATGATTTTACTTTCTCCAAGCCTTTTGGTAACAATACGTAGTTCCTGAATTACTTGCAAACTTTAAATCGTGGCGAGTAATGCACATCACTGAATGCATTCCATTAGGCATAAGGGGCTTAAACTTGGTGGCGGTCAGGTATATCACCGTTCAAGTGACTAGACTGCCGTGGTAGTGATTACTACTAGAAATAGGGCATAATCTGCTGTACCGAGCCTGGATTGACAGGCATCTCCCCCTTTGCGTGGTATACTATAATTGCAGCCCTGTTTGTGCTGGTTGCATGTGCATTGAGAAAGGTGAGTTTCTTAAGATTTGTCTCCACATTCACTATCACTAACCTACGTGCTGGGCCACGCCGTAACTCAACCGGTTAGTTGCTGGCTTCCTACCGCGGCGGCCCGGGTTCGATCCCGGGTCTGGTCAAGTGGGATTTGTGGTGGAAAAAGTAGCGCTGTGGCAGGTCTTCTCCGAGTCCTTCGGTTTCCCCTGCCAATCTTTATACCACTAATTGCTCCACAATCACCCTCACCTATCATCTTTGGCTGGTACAACAGGCCAGAAGTGGCCGCAGTACAAGGGACTTTTTTATTGTTAGTTGGGTGGGACTAAGTCCCTGGATTGAGTGGTTCAGACTACCTCGTTCTAACGGGCCCAACTGAGTAGGTTTATCCTTCCCTACCCACCTGGGGATGGAGACAGATCCAGTCTCTGAAACCTTGTGATCTTTTGTCTTTTACATACCAGACGATGGATGAAGTCCGAAACAAGCCAAAAGAAGTACAGTATACACCATCATCAGAATCCTTTCAAGTCTATCTAGTTTAGTTTTGTCATGGAGAAAGAGTATGTCTTCTGTGAGATAAAAGTCAAATTTTAAATACCATTTATATGAACTTCATTCTTCAGTGTGGTTAACTTTTATTCACAGAGATCAACAGCAGTGTTTCTGTCATAACCAAGTTTTTATATTGCACAGCCTATACAGGATAAGGCAAAATAACAAACATCTCATACTAATAAAGTGTCACATATAACGTTTGGTTCCCATTTTTCTTGACAACAAAGACACCTTAATCACTTTGGAAAACCAGTTTCTTGTTGTACTTATTATTATTATTATTATTGTTGTTGTTGTTCTAGTTGTATATACGGACATGTCATTCAACAATCCATGAGGAACAGGTGGTGGTTAATAGAGCCCTGGAGAAGAACAAGGAACTGACCACCCGCAGTACGACACCAAAATTACAGGAGTGCCCTGCAACATGTATCCCTGTTAAAACACAAACAGTTCCTACAATCCATGTGGAACAGGTGGTGGTCGATAGACCCCTGGGGAAGAACAAGGAACTGACCACCCGCAGTACGACACCAAGTTACAGGGGTGCCCTGCAACATGTATCCCTGTTAAAAAACAAACAGTTCCTACAATCCATGAGGAACAGGAGGTGGTCGATAGACCCCTGGAGAAGAACAAGGAACTGACCACCCGCAGTATGACACCAAAGTTACAAGGGTGGCCTGCAACACATATCCCCGTTAAAACACAAACAGTTCCTACAATCCATGATGAAGAGGTGGTGGTCGATAGACTCCTGCAGAAGAACAAGGAACTGACCACCCGCAGGACGACACCAAAGTTACAGGGGTGCCCTGCAACATGTATCCCTGTTAAAACACAAATAGTTCCTACAATCCATGAGGAAGAGGTGGTGGTCGATAGACCCCTGCAGAAGAACAAGGAACTGACCACCCGCAGGATGACATCAAAGTTACAGGGGTGCCCTGTGACACGTATCCCTGTTAAAACACCAACAGTTCCTACAATCCATGAGGAACAGGAGGTGGTCGAGAAACCCCTGGAGAAGAACAAGGAACTGACCACCCGCAGTATGACACCAAAGTTACAAGGGTGGCCTGCAACACATATCCCCGTTAAAACACAAACAGTTCCTACAATCCATGATGAAGAGGTGGTGGTCGATAGACTCCTGCAGAAGAACAAGGAACTGACCACCCGCAGGACGACACCAAAGTTACAGGGGTGCCCTGCGACACGTATCCCTGTTAAAACACCAACAGTTCCTACAATCCATGAGGAACAGGAGGTGGTCGATAGACCCCTGGAGAAGAACAAGGAACTGACCACCCGCAGTATGACACCAAAGTTACAGGGGTGCCCTGCAACATGTATCCCTGTTAAAAAACAAACAGTTTCTACAATCAATGAGGAACAGGAGGTGGTCGATAGACCCCTGGAGAAGAACACGGAACTGACCACCCGCAGTATGACACCAAAGTTACAGGGGTGCCCTGCAACATGTATCCCTGTTAAAACACAAACAGTTCCTACAATCCATGAGGAACAGGAGGTGGTCGAGAGACCCCTGGAGAAGAACAAGGAACTGACCACCCGCAGTATGACACCAAAGTTACAGGGGTGCCCTGCAACATGTATCCCTGTTAAAACACCAACAGTTCCTACAATCCATGAGGAACAGGAGGTGGTCGATAGACCCCTGCAGAATAACAAGGAACTGACCACCCGCAGTATGACACCAAAGTTACAGGGGTGCCCTGCAACATGTATCTCTGTTAAGACACAAACAGTTTCCACAATCCATGAGGAACAGGAGGTGGTCGAGAGACCCCTGCAGAATAACAAGGAACTGACCACCCGCAGTACGACACCAAAGTTACAGGGGTGCCCTGCAACATGTATCTCTGTTAAGACACAAACAGTTTCCACAATCCATGAGGAACAGGAGGTGGTCGGTAGACCACTGCAGAAACACAACGAACTGACCACCCGTGGTAGGACACCCAAGCTACAGGGGTGCCCTGCAACACGTGTCCCTGATAGAAGAAGACAGAAATTCGAGCCTGCAGTTTTTGCAGCACATAAAAAGAGTGAGTAGATTTCCTAGTCCATACAGCTAACCTAACATTAAAATTACACATTTTCCTGTGTTAACATTAAGTTAATGTGGAAGGACAATTTTTTTCATCGTCAAGATATTCTTAAGGTAAAGTGAAATGTTCGCTGGATTTAACTTTTTAAACACCAACCATGAAAAAGTATGGGGAAATGGAAGCATAGCTCCAAATTCATATTAGCATACACCCAACTGAAGTCGAGATAGGTTATTTTGTATAGCAGTGGTCTACAGGCTGGATGGTCCAGGTTTGATTCCATGCATTCAGAGATTTTTCTCCTCTTCATAGAATCTGGACACACTCTGGGGTCCATCCAGCCACCTAGCTAATGGGTACCAGGGGATTCTGAATACTGACTCATCCATGTGAAGTTTGTGTAAATGGCATAAGTTGAAGTATCAGATTTTAAGGTTGTTCAAATAGCATGAGGTGACAATGTGACATATGTGAATGGATGTATCTCTGAATAACTGCGTGTGTGTAACCACTGTTGTTATTGCTGATTTTAGACATTCTTTGTATTTATACATGTTCCACATCCAGCAGCCACTTGACTTACTTTGGATCTATGCAATGCATTGCAAGTGTAAATTCTCTTGGCTAGAGACCGCCTCTGTAGTCTAGTGGTCAGAGTTCCTGGCTACAGATCTAGAGGTCTGGGTTCGATTCCCGGTGCTACCACATTTTACTGAGAAGTACTGGGTCTGGAACGGGGTCCATTCAGTCTCATGAGGATAGTTGAGGAGCTATTCCAAGGAAACAGAGGCTCCGGTCTAGAAAACCGAGATTAACGGCCGTGGGGATTCATTGCGCCGACCACGTGACACCCTCTATCCGCTAAAACTGGCACTAACTTCGCCGACAAGTGGCGGTCGCTCGGTCAGTATAGTTTGCTTACGGACAAAACCACAGCGTTTTTTTTTCTTTATGTGAAGCAGCCGGCTGCCTCAACAGCCCTCTCACAATTGCGGCGCGGAACTTTTCATATATCTCTGATGACAAGGTGCGATGAAAACTTGCTGACTAATAACGGTCTTGTTCTGTTGCAGAACTTCCGATCAACAAGGTTGTGGTGGGCATAGCGCCGATGCCGAATACAACTTCAGTTGGACCCAAGGTAGACTCTTGGAGCAAGTGTATGCACCTTGTGCGAGATGGGAGCGATTTCAAGATAATTACCGAGAATCCCATGCCGAATACGACTTCAGTTGGACACAAGGTAGAGTCTTGGGACATGAATAGGCACCTCGTGCGAGATGGGAGCGCCTTCAAGATAATTAATGAGAAGCCAAACTATAAACACGTGAAGTCCAGGATTGACCGTACGAAGAGGCCATTCAGTCTAGATCGTGACGAAAATGAGATTCTGGCAGGGTGAGTTGTGGCATGGCTCAGGAGAGAAACATACCAGGTGCTGGCTATCACCGTTACGACGTGGAAGTAGAGGTCACCAGCTCCTCCGTTGGAACGAGACCCCTACTTAAGCTGAGGCCAGAGCTGTTGAGGCTGCTGTCCCCCTTGAGAGAGCATCGCATCCGCGAGCTGCTGGTTATCTGAGAGGCCGTAAAGCATTTCTGTTACATGCTGGAAGCGCGCCGTAAGCCGCATCATATATGCCTTCCAGTAGACACGGCACAAATGCTGACCGTGGACCTCAGACACGCTAGTCAGCCGCAGGTGTCCTTACATTGGGAGCGCAGACAGTAACAGTGAGGCTTTAGCAGCAACACCATCAGCCGATGCAAGAAAACCCTGCAGGCTGGCAGTTACACGGCCGCCGACGCTAGGAGGACCAGCCGACTCGTAGTCGTCCGGCCACGTGCAGAGAAAAGGTCGCCCGGCTTGCATGGAAGCATGATATACGAAGGGTGATTCCCCCATTAGAATTTCATGCACAGGAATTTACTGTGTTCTAGAGAACTTTGGCAGAAATGAGTGATGTAAACTTTTTTAAGCAGCATGTTTCAGTTTGAACTTGATGTTTTTATATACTGTTCCATAATATGTGAATACATGCACTGTAATTAATAATCTTTTAATTTGAATTTGATGTTATTATATAATGTTCCATAATATGTGAATACATGCACTGTAATTAATAATCTTGTAATTTGAATTTGATGTTTTTATATATTGTTCCATAATATGTGAATACATGCACTGTAATTAATAATCTTGTAATTTTGTTTAAAAAATCCAATTACACTTGCAGCATCGCTGCACTGTCGCACACACACAGTCTTCTAATTCACTTGACATCCTTCTGTATTCCTGGTTCCACTTCGCTTGCTTCCACCACTCTCAAATACTCCTCAATACTGACTAATACTGATATCTGTTCTGCCGGATACTCTCGTTATATAGCTTCCGCACTGAACACGCAGAGAAGAGCCTATATTGTTGGAATGTGTTTACTGAGCGATTGCCCAGCAATGGACTCCATAGAAACCAGTTACGTGATAGCTACCACTGTTGCATGATGACAAAGGGGTGTTTACCGAACGTCGTGTAGCAACGGACTAGGTGGGGGAATGTGACGTCACTTGCGGAAACGCAGAGGTCACGTGACTCCTACTCACTACTGCAGTATGTCGTCATCGCGTGTGCGCGGAGTCTTGTTCTGCCACGTAAAGACTCGCATGGTTAGGGTGGACGTATGCCTCTGAATAGAAGCCTGCGCCTCCAAGGGTTCCATTACTGTTCTGCATGAAGGCATTGTCTCGGAAACCATGTCTTAATTCCTAAGCAACAGTTTGGTTTGCCGTGTATCCCTTGCACTGATCAATATAAGGCATACATGCCTGACTAAGGTAAACTACACACAAAATAAACACAGCAGAGATGCCACAATATGAAAATAGCATATGGGCATATATTCTCAAATAACGACATGCAATATTGACATATGAGCTGATGTAGTGTGGTGATTTCAATCATTAGTTGCTTGACGATGACCTTGTAGGGCCGAAACACGTTGCAACAACTAAATAAAATATTTTGTTGCATTATAGATGGAAGCAAGTCGACAAGCAACAGAATGCTGAAATATAACACTGTTAGTTCTTTAGTTAGAAAATTTCAGAGCTGGAGTTTAAAATTTTAACACAGAATACACAATTACAATGGTTCTGCAATGTAAAAAAACAATGTAGAACAAGGATATTCAGAGTGGTATTGGAATTAAATTTAAAGGAAAGAGATTTGTGGTATGTCCCCAGAACTAGATGGTTCAGCCCAATACTAGATACCAGCAAAGAGAGGAAAGACCTAGCAAAAACTGAAAAGGAACAGTTGTGGGAAGAAATAAGCACCCAGAAACTTTTCATCCATTGAACCTTACAATACAGAAATGATCCTAGGAGAAAAACTTATGCCGTGCTTCTTTAGAAAAGAAACTAACCCAACAGAAAGAGCTGCAAGGGAAGTTTTACCCATGACAATTTGCAGAGAGGGAGAAAATGACAAAACAATCTAATACAGCAACAAGTTACAGTGCTGTCAATTTCTGCAGTGACACTCCATGTTGTAAGAATGTAATATAATGGTGTTACAAGGTACAATAATTTTACATAGACAACTATATCCTGAACAGAGTTACATTATTTAACTTAAATAAATAGAAATTACAGAACTACTGCATGGCACAGGAATACATGTAAATAAACATCAGAGAGCACGAAGACTGTCCCTTTCTTCCCAAGGAACAGGATACATGAACTACTTCCATAAACTGATATGTTATGATGTAAACATTATAATTTAAAACAATTTCAAATCTGTGTGCCTTATTATTACTATTATTATTCACACTAGTAAACTTACTATGTTTGGTCTATTACCCATCCCTACATAAATACAATTAACTTACAAACACGTCACACACATTATTTGTAAAATAATCATTCCACAATCGACTTGATAATGAGGCACAAGTGTGGACCAAACATGGGAACATATCACTGCCTCAAATTAACAGATCTGCATTTCAATCTCAGTGCACTGTTCAAAAATCCTCACATTTTAAATAGTACACATAATATTTGTAAAAGTTTTCACAATAAATTACAAACACTTCTTCACTAAATATTAGTATGTCAGAGGACTGAAGACAAATANATGGCTGTTCAATGAACACAAATCAAGAGAATAATCAGAAATATTCTAATACTTCAGGTATGTATGTAAAACCTGAAATACTGGTTTTGATATTTCCAACACCATTAAAAAAATCTACTCTTAAAAGGTATATCAGTGCTTAAAAACGAGGGGCTGAAGGGGTTAAATAAGTATATTGTATTCTGAACTCAATGATCTTTGCCAAAGAATTCTGCAGCCAGCATCTGCAGATATTTCAAGTCGGTATTACTTCAGTATCTTGAAGAACACTGAACTTAACATCACATGTTAAACTGTAACACAAAGCAATGATACAGGCTGACTAAATTTTGCCTGTGTTCCTTCTTCAATTCAGTTTATGCATTCCAAGTTCTTACATACTGCAAACAGAATCAGTTCTGAGTATTCTTATTACAGTCATGTCAACCTGACATTTCTGTTTTACATCACAGCTCAGATAAAAGAAAGAAAAACATATTAGTTTTGAGGTTTTCATGGTAGTGACTGTTTAATTTGTGGTCTAACACAGTATTGTATGTGGATGTCAATGTTTTGGAGTAACACACTGTCTCTGTCTTCATCCACAATACAGGGACAGGAGTCCGGCACCAGGCCAAAATTACATAGTGTTGCAACTCCGACGACAATCTAAAGGAAAACAGTGTCACTTGTGCCTAATAAACAAAAACACAGAATTAACACCATCTTAATATTTTATAAAGAAATGCAGCAAATTAATTTGGTATATTAGTGCTGAAAATCTGAAGATATATATATACATATAATATATTACACAAGGGTCAGTTTGAAAGTAATGCCACCAATTTCACAATTCCGTCTCTAGCTAAGGTATAAACAAAATACCTTTTCCACTGATCCACCCTTACAAGTTTTAAGCCTTGAGGGTCACTCTGAAATCATGATTTTCTGCTGAATATACAAACTATAAAAGTGAGAAGTTCTAGAAAGACAGCTTGATAAAATTAGCACAATTTCTTAGCAAAGGCTGATGGTGTAATACTGACTGGAACACTGTCGTTTAATACTATCTTCTGGTCCTATCATAATTGATACCAGTTCTGCATTAGATCTTTATGGTGATGGTATAATAACAAACGCTGCCCTGCTTAGACTGTCTGTAGTTACTTTCTAACTGATCCTTGAATATCAACTTCTTAAATACAGAAATGGCAGTTGCAAATTCTTCAGTTCTGACATTTCCATCTGTGACATCAGAACTACTTGCTCTGAAAGTTCTTATAATAACAACCTACCTAAAAAAAACCCTAAGGTAAATGGATATTTATAAATGTGAGAAATGATTACAAGTTTGGTATATACACATCATACAGAAATTGTGAATTACGGCAGTATACAAATATTTAAATATGTAATGATATAATGTTGACATGGTATGTGTCAAACTGTAATAAAGGGGCATAATGTGTTCATTTTAAACATCTGACTACTCATCAACCCCTGAGACCATCTCTGAGCAAAAACCTTCAGTACCCTGGAATTGTATGTAAATGCCCAAGAGATAAAACTAACTTGAAAAGGTTGAGACAGACTCATCAGGTGGCTTTTCAGCTTTTGGCTGTGCCTACAAGCTCATTATTAGTACATAGTGGGTCAACAAGAAACATAATTTTCCTGCACCACTCTCCACGAAAGTAAAGAATAAAATGTATCCCACTTAACACATTCACCGCTGATGCTATCATGTGATTGGTTTCAGTTTACTGCACACCAGTGCTGATCCCATCAAGTAACAGACTGTTCCCAATGTGTACATATTTTGTCACCTGAGTATTGGTGTTCCACCCTCACTTCTGGATGAAAATTAGATAATTCTCTGTTCTTAGTCTCTGCATTGAGTTGCACTATCTCCACATGCTTCCATAGGTTTACCTTACTTGCAAAGTGATATTTCAGAATGTGTTTTGTTCTAAGCCACACTTAAACTACAGCTGACCCCCCGGATTCAAACCAAGTTTCCTGAAAATCGATGTTGATGAACACAGTACACTCAAATATACAGATGACAAAGTGTCGTGCCCTCCCATCCATCACAAAATGCAGAGAAACTTTCAGCATAACTTATTGAAGCCTGAAAGAGTAGACATACACAGTGACTGTCAACTGTTTTTCACTTGTATTCTTTTGTTCCCATTTTGAATGTGGTTAAGTTCATGGAAACGCAGATGCCTCAGTCAGTAAAATCCCAGCATGGGAGTATGGCAGTGAATGTTAACACTGAGATGCTTAATACTTTCATGAAAATGTAGTAAGCATGGATGAGAAGACAATACTTCAATGCAAAAACAATATTTATGCCAAGGATAGAGATGCACATGTTTTATAAATCTATTTGAATTTAAATTAAAAAGGAATTGAAGAAAACTATGATATTTTACTTCACAACCCTATTATACAGAAAGTGCACTTTTCAAAAAAAATTTTCATAAAGTGCACTAACCTTCAAACTGATATCTGTAAAAGGCGTAACAATTATAACAGAGGGAGGGGGGATATTCTGAAACATAACAGCTGAACCCTTCTTGAGAAGCCACCAGTGATGCAGCTACTCATGAACATTCTGAAAAATAAACTTAAAAAAGAGTGGTATCAACTGCAATGGCCATCACATGCAGGATCACCACATTTGGATTTCACAGATGGAAGTTCAACTTTTCACCACAAAATCAGTAATACATGTCCAGCAATTAGGATTAGAATTATAAAGGGTTAGGTAACCAACTGCACTTGCACTGTAATCAATATGTATCTATTGTGCATAATACAATATATGGAATATCAACACTTCAACTCATTATATGCATTAACACAAAGCTGTCTTTACAGTAATATCCATTTGGCTCAGTATTTATGTTAATGTAATAAGTTGCTGGTCTGTATGCTAATTTTATTGGTGTAGTGCAATTTATTCGGTTTAATTCTTTTACATTCCAAAATGAAATAGGAGTGGCTTATCTCCCACAGATGATTTCTGTTTCAACTGGAATAGTTTCAAGCTTTTCCCTGTAGATGGTCTTTGGCATTAAACGGTATTTGCTTTCAATTTCTAAATCTTGCTGGTGACCTTGGTTTGAAAGTAGCTCTACTGAAGGGCCCAACAGATGAAGTTTTCTTTTATACTGTGTTCACCTGAAGAAAAAACAGAATCTATAGGATCTATTTCTCACAGCAATGGTCATGAAGCTTTCACTGACTGCCATCATCCACCAACTATACCATTTCTCTAAGACCATTCGCATGCCAAAAACTGGTCGTCCTGCCCTTGACATGATGTCAATATAATAATTATAAAAAACTAATGGATGTGATATTTCAATGCCTTTGGCTGCTGGCTGTATAGTGAACTGACAACAGAAAGGTCAGGCTGGGGGTAGGAGTGCATTAGTGTTACAATGAAACAAGAGGACAGGAAACATTTCTCTTGTCTTCTAATGCACATGGTCCAATAATCGGCTCAGGCAGGGGGGTGAACCCAGACTGGGTAATGTCAGAACAGAGCAAGACTGGCAATGCAGTCACTCGCCCAAATTCCTTACTAGTGCATGAACACAGTGATAAATATAGATGATCTGCCACATTCACACCATGCCCAGTGCTCTGCCTTTTAATGCAGATTGTGACAGAAACATTTTGAAACACATATATACATTCGCACATCCATAGTCACTAAACCGGTCTACCTTATCAAGAAATGCAAAAAAAACACAGATTTATAACTCTAAAAATTCAATCTCCTGTATATATTAGCATCAATGTAAGCAGAACTATATAAATCCAACTACCATATTTATCTGACTGTAAGAACTTACAACCCACTGCAGTATATAAAGAACATGTACATGGTGATTTATTTTGGAGACAACAAAGAAATGAGGAAAAAATATATGTCCTAAATCACAGGCTGGTAAAATATGTGATGAGCAAGTAGAAGAAAATGTGAGAGGAGCTATAAAATCCTACAAATATAACAAAAAAATACTGCAACATTCCATCTGTATTTCAATCACAAACATGCTGTCACGTTGTGTTAATTTTAAAAGTTAATTTCTCATTTATACTAACAAAATCTTCACATTTATATATACAATGACATCTTTGGAAGAAATTCGGTAACTAGAACTACTATTAAGTTGAAAGATGGAAGTAATAACATTACTTTAAAACATGCAAAGAAAAGAAATTACCCTTATATGCACTCACAATTGAATTACTGGCAAGTTATTCAATTCAAACACAAAATGTATACACATCTTGAAGTCCTTATTCATACTGCTGACTAATGCTTGTATTTTATACAAAAATATTAGATAAATACAAGTTGCTTTCATTGCAAATATTCACAATGTAAATTTATTATGACACAAATTCCCATGATGAAATCGCAATCCTGTTTTACAGATATAAACACTAATATAAATGAACGAAATTTCTGCATAGTATGTTTAAAATTCAGAAACTGATCACACTTCTACTTAGAAAACAATACTTATTGTCTCCTGTAGTTATCACTGTCCACTGGCTCAAACTGTAACCCTGTGTGTCAGTGACAGTAGTACAGATAACTTGCGGGATCAGAGTAGATAAAATGATGCAAATAGAAGATGTGGAAGGTGTTGGCAATACCCTTACAAAACTTCCACACTTGTATCATAAACATACAAATTTATGTAGGATAAACATTATTATTTATAACTTTTGTTAAGATAAACATTGACATATCAATTAAAAATTTGGTCGTAATATTCAAATGCTCTTAAGAACTATGGTCCACCATTCACCTGAACCTCTAAGCTCAAAAGTATTTCCCCAGCTCTGGTTAGGGAGTTCATGATCAGACATCATTTGGTTCTTAATCTGCAATAATTAGAAGTCTAAAGTAAAGCTTGGTTTATTAACCTGATATGAAACCATAAGCAATATCTGCTTTGCAAGTGGATCAATTGACAGTTCTTTCCATCACTAGACATAATTGTAATTGCTTTCACCACTGCAAGCTAGTGACTACGTTTGCAGTTGAAATGAAGATGTGACACCAGTGCTACATTCTTCCTCCTGAGCTTGGGGTTATAATGTTACAGAAGGCAGAGCCAGGGATCTGCATATCACTGTGAGACTGCAGAGATGTAATCCATGTGATGATCTGAAAATACACATATACTTTTGTGCTGCTGCAAACCGAATGCTAACAACAGGCACGACAATACAAATTTAACTTATATAAAACCAACTGTAATCTCTTGTGCAGATCAATAAGTAAAATCACTTTAATGTTTAAACATGCAAGATCTGATTCATTACAATTGTCATAACTTGGATCACTGAAAGCAATGATTTAGTCACAGCTCAAAACACATATACTGACTGAAAATTAAATGATTTGGTGACAAGAAATATAATCTCCACAACAGTTACATATGTGACAACACTGAGGCCACAGAAAGAATTCCCATGGAATCCAAGAATGACATTGCACAAGGCTTCCCCATTCCACCCTACTATTGTAATCCCTTCCAGCACTCTGTGGCCTATGTCAATCATACCAAAGCACATATCACTACTAACACTCATGTGAGCAGAATGACTGGACTGGAAGGGAATACAGAGAAGCATGTTGAAGGGGGAAGCATAACACCTAGAGGGAGATATGGAGGGGGGGCTTAATCCATGGGACTTGTTTCCTCAGTCTCAGTATAAAAATAATAAAAAAAAAAAAAAAAATATTAATTTGCAACTTCCTAAAGTTCAACACCATACTTGATGAGCTTCCATATTACTCTGAATTAATTTCCACACTGTATCATCCTATGTAAACACTCCCCGTTAGTACCACATTGAAATAACATGACAAATGTAATATTGAGCACCACCTGAGAATTTCTACTTTCTCAGAAATTCTAAATATTAATAAAAAGTCTCTCCTAATGAACACATCACTGACTGTTCATAACCCTGGCATGCTTGATACTCATCACATTTGGAACATCTCATTCTCATGATGAGTCTTACTGCAGGTATTCAATCTGCATTGTACATTCCACAGTTAAAAGAACTCTGTACCAATCTCATTTGATATCAACCTTTGCACTTATTCACACACAGATTGCATGAATAGCAACACAGTTAATGGAACAGGATGCAGGGCAATCAGACCTCTTCCTTGGTACCCACAAACAAAGGCAAATATAAACTAAACTGGATTTGAGGTTCCTCTATGAAGACTATTGTCTTCTGGGATGTGATGCTGTGTGATCTGATAGGAGATGTTTACTAACATTTCTGAGACATATCCTGCCTCCATCTTCAGGGTTGGAGAGTATGCCAAACAAGCAACCTGCAAGAAGCAAGGAGCAACTCTACCTGGTGTCCATCCCACTAGATATTACTTTTAATTTCTTGACAACCGTGTGACACACTGATGATGGCTGTTCTTTTGGACTGTGACCATCATTCCATGTCTTTTAACACTGTGTCACACACTCGCTATATTGGCTTGAGGCACTCATATTCAAACTGCCGCAACTGGATATCGGCTTATTATTATCCAACTAATATAGCACTTCTGTCAACTGATGTCATCTAGTGAGACATATTAATGTTTACAGCAATGAATAAGCTTTCCTTAACGTCATGTATTTATTGTCCGTCGATATTGCAACAATTGTTTATTCACTACTTAATCTTAATTTCAGTTTAACATTTTACACTTTGACACATGTTTCGGCCCCAAACGGCCATCTTCAGGTGTCTTGATATGTTACAAATTTTTTTTAAATTATCTTAAAACTGCTACATTGTGTTAGTCCATGTTAAAATCACACATTGTACTTCCTTTTCAAGGCAAAACAAGATAAAAACCATTACAATTTCTATTAAACCCATATTATTTTGGTGCATTCTATTTCAGTTCACAAGGGGTGTTGTCCATTGTCGCCCATAAGCTTTCATGTGAAATACTCCTGTTGTTGTTTGAAGGTCATTTCAGGAAAGTATTGCCAAATGATAAAGTGTAACTATAGATGGGGTATGGACTGGTAATCAGATTTATTGGACACTTCGACACAACTTGTAATTACAAACAAAAAAAAAATCTGTGGCTTAAGTCCGCAAGCAAACTATACTGACTGAGCGACTGCTGCTTGTCGGTGAAGTTAGTGCCAACTTTAGGAGATAGAGGGCATCGCATGGTAAGTGCAACAAAACCCCACGGCCATTAATTTCGGGTTCCTAGACCGGAGCGGCTGTTTCCTTCAAATAGCTCCTCAATTATCCTCATGAGCCTGAGTGGACCCCATTCCAGACCAACTACTTCTCAGAAAAGCTGGTAGCGCTGGAAATCGAACCTGGAACCTCAGGATCTGTAGCCAGGAACTCTTGACCACTAGGCCACAGAGGCGGTCCAACTTGTGTTCACAGTAACGGTCTTCACTGCACCACTTGGTAGTGGCTTCCAACAATATAGCATCTGTAGCTTCTGTGTCCATTGGCTCCTGTCCTTACTGGCTGGCACCCTTCTGCTGCAGCTCCCAAGCTGAGCTAACTGGCTTCCAACTACCAAAATAACTCACAATGAACAATGGACTCCTTACGGAGCCTCGGCACAAGACTGTATACAAAACACCTCTCCAAACAGTTCTCCTATTGTTGCATCACATAGCTATTGGCATGGACAGCGAAGAGAAAACTGCTTCTAAGTTACTCCACTGTTGCATGTTATGCTGCTGTTGCCTAGCAACAGGCATGTTTGCAGAGCCGTTCCTGAGCAGTTCTCTCCTGACTTCAGTGTTCTTGCACTGGTCAAATATGCCATAATACTGTAGGGCTTCCTGTGTGTTCATACATACTCCCAAGCAGCCTCAGCATTTCTGGCAGGCAGTTCTATGATGGGGCTTGATATTTGAAAGGATAGAAATTCTATACTGGCCTAAAACCAGTCTGAGAGTGGCTATATCTAGCAACCCAACATAGTAGATTTTTATTTACCTTATGATGGAAATAGTACAAATGTCTGAAACACTAAAACTAAACTCCATGGTTTTAGTCTGTGAGCAAACTATACCAACCGAGCGACCAAAGCTTCTTGGCAAAGTTCTGTGGTCTGGTGGTCAGAGTTCCTGGCTACAGATCCAGAGATCCAGGTTTGATTTCTGGTGCTACCAGATTTTCTGAGAAGTGGTGGGTCTGGAACGAGGTCCACTCAGCCTCATGAGGATAATTGAGGAACTACTTGAAGGAAATAGTGCCTGCGGTCTAGAAACCCGAGATTAACGGCCATGCGGTTTTGTCGCGCTGACCACATGACACCCTCTATCCACTAAAGTTGTCCAAAACACAGCTGTTTTGAAAAACTGCTATGATGGATGAAGCCTAAAAGAATAGTCTTAATCAATGGAAAACTTCATTAAGGTTCTGATCTTCTGAAATATGACCTTGTGTATTATGTAGTCTGTTTTGTAGATACTGATGTTAAAGAGAAATCTGCTGTTTCAATCTTCATAGTAGCAGTTACTCAAAAACACTGGCACCTACTGACCAAACAACATGGTGTCACATCTCAGAAGACAATCTTAATTAATAGTTATCACTATGGGAACCTACAGTATAACACCAGGGGAAACCTTCATCTTTACACGCATGATTCGAGGTTCAAACAGAAGTGGTTAAGAAGAATTCAAGCAGGTAGCAAGCTCTGCTTTCCACCCTGATTCATGCTTTCTTGCTTGGCTTATTCTTCGACCCCAAAGATGAAGCTGACATATTCCCCCAAAATGTTGATTGACTTTCAGCGATTACATGGCGTTATATCCCAGAAGACAGAAATCTTCATGTTTACATGTTTTTTCTTGCGTCTTTTTCTAGTAAGAATCTACAGCTAGTTGACAAAAATGTAAGTTAAGCGAAAAAAAATTAACTTAAATTAACTCTTGCCTTTTGTGAGCACTTCAAGGAACCCTTATCCATGCAATTATTACAACCCTTCAACTAATATTTATAGCAACTACAACTTCTTCTGTTTGTTAAATGCTTTTTAAAACTTACAAAAATTGAAAATTTGAATCTTTCAGTCTACAATGGTCTAGAGAAGCCTGCTAATTTGAAATGGCTATCACAGAAGATCCTGACCATTTTAATAATATCTAACTATGCTACATCAATACGATTTCCCTTTATAATTTGGAAATTAAACAGCCCATCACAATATACTTCTTACCTTCTCAAAACATGGTACCTGTAAAAATAAGGATTTCTTTAATCACTATTTGTTCATTTCAAAACCCAATGCATGACTTCATCACACCTCCACAACCCTTTCAGAGAGCTTTGACGCATTTCACTCGTTGTTGGCTGCTTGGCTGGGTTAGATGCAAGATTCCATCATGCATGGTGGGGAATCTCAGCAACCTTCCACAAAACTTGCTGGGAACAGTCCAGTACGGCCTGTTCGTTGTTGTGTGCCCTTGTACCAGCCATCCTCACGTTTCTTGTGTACATAAATGATATCTCCAACCCACAGTTCTAGTTCAACTTCACTGTTTGGAGGATAAGGCACAATGCAGCGGAATCTGTTGAACAATGGTCACATCAACTTTATTCTTTTTGTGGGATATTTAATGACACTTTCAGCATCAATACCATATAGCATCGGATGGTAGGATAATACATGAGTGATGAACTGGAAGACATCTGGGTGAAAGTGGTTGTGGCATAAGTGAGGTACCTTCCCTGCATTGATGAAGGGTCTGAGGAAACCCAAGAGAAAACTATCCTAACAGGCAGTCTCCCCATTAAGATTTGGAACAATCACCTCCTGAACAAAAGTCTTAGAGAATGCCAGAGCAACCTGGTATCAGTTTTATGCAGTTGCACCCTCCAAACAGAAACACAGAAATAAACTACATAGCATATTTTAAATCGATACTAATATATAACAAAAAACCATGGACTTTACAAAGAGAAACATAAGCGAAATCCATGCAATGGATACAAAATTTCTCAGAAGTATTGAGGAGAGAACAAGTATGGATAGAATTAAAAAGGAAATCCTTAGCAGTAAGACTAGATTACAGAAAAGAGTTAGAGAGGAATGACTATAATGGTTTGGACACTAAAGTAAATGGACAGAAGGATTCTGAGAAGGGTAACAGATTTAAAAATTTAAAGCAAATAGCCCTGTGGGACAACATAGAAAAAGGTGGTCCAGCCAAGTACTGAAAATCAGCAAGGAGAAAGAAAAGAGCTGGAATGAATCAAAACAGGGGGACTGTGGGAAGAAAGAACAGATTGAAGACCAGTATAAAACAGAAACAATGCTAGAAAAGAAGAATATATTGTCACGTGTTGGGTATGTCACGCAACAAATAGCTTCACGTGGGTCTCGGATTTAACGAATCTTTATTGTACACTCACTCTTACACACCTTACAATTATTATCGCTTGCAGTATCACTTGACTTCTGGCCCAATACTCTAATACGACATCTCAACTGTCTCTGGTGGCAGCTATCCGAAGACTGTCTCGTTCTCATCTGTGTCATCTCTGGCTCTGCTTATGTAGGCGTTATGCCAACCAGATACCAGACACCATTCTTCAGGGTTCCGTTACTGCTGTTCAGACAGTCCATTGTTACGGGAACACTTCTTATAGAATACACCGGTAACGTGTTTCATCTCATCCATTGTTACTCAATGACAATTCATTGCTACGATTTGTTGCTGCGGGAACACCCATTGTCTCACATTCATTCTTTCCTCACTCATTCTTGCTAGGGATGCCAGTGCTTCTACGTTACCAGTTCCTCCCATACGGCCGTTTCCCTTTTTTCGTTTTGGAAGGGGTCAACACCTCCACAGTGTCCAATCCTTGTCTTGTCGTAGGCTGACAGAAGATCCAACTATTCGCTTTCCGATCTTCTTGCTGACAATCTCACAGAAGGTCTTCTTACGAGTTCTTATCCCTCCTAGGTGTGATAGCTGTCCTGATCTACACCCTCCGATGGCATCCCTTTTCTTTTGGCATAGCGGCCATCTGCCGCCTATGTTCTTTGTTCCCGTTCTTCCCTTCCAGGTTTCTTATTCATCATTGATCCTGGTTGAATATTTCTTTACGAGATCTCCCTTGCACCATGTCACACCTGCATAGCTAGTCATATTTCTGTCGGCAGCCAATTCGTGCCGCGGTCCACACCTACCTTGGGACATAGATTTCCTGAAGATGTTCCTTTTGAGCCATGCTACTGTTGCACAGCAGGACACCTTCCGGTCTATTGGCGTTTTCTGTGCCACTTTCGCACGGCGTGTTGTCCCTCTGCGGGCAACGGCCAATTTCTTGTGGCGTCCACACCTGGGGTCCTTGCGCCTTTTCCTCTTTGGTTCTCCGACCAGCATTACTTCGGCATCTACTTTGGGAACCTCTTCTCTCTGTGCCGCCTCAGGTTTCCTGTCCAGTGAGGTTGGCTTTCTCTCTTCTTGACGTGCCTTCATCTCTCGGCAGGTCAACGTCTCATTGTGGTTGGTATTCATCCATTTGTCTCTCATGGCGGCCATCTCTTCTCGCCATGCTTTCATACTGGCCTGTCTGTCATCCTCTAGTTTGGCCAGTAGTTCTTTGTGGCCAGTCATCATTTGTTCTTGGCCCACTAACAGACGTTCCATCCTGTCAGTCCCATGTGTAAGTGCAGTCTTTTAAATTCGATTAATCCGACTTCTGACACCAGTTGTCACGTGTTGGGTATGTCACGCGACAAATAGCTTCACATGGGTCTTGGATTTAGCGAATCTTTATTGGACACTCACTCTTACACACGTTACAATTATTATCACTTGCAGTATCACCTGACTTCTGGCCCAATACTCTAATATGACGTCTCAACTATCCTTGGCCATGGTTGGATCTCAACTGTCTCTGGCGGCGGCTATCCAAAGATTGTCTCGTTCTCATCTGTGTCGTCTCTGGCTCTGCTTATGTAGGCATTATGCCGACCAGATACCAGACACCATTCCTCACGGTTCTGTTACCGCTGTTCAGACAGTCCGTTGTTACGGGAACGCTTCTTATAGAATACACCGGTAACATGTTTCGTCTCATCCATTGCTACAATTTGTCGCTGCGGGAACTCCCCAATTTCCACATATTCGTTGCCATGGAAGTGTCCAATTCGATTGTAGCAGTTGTCGCAGCGATGGGCGTAAGGTAACGCATCACAATGTGAATACTACAAAGTAAGAAGTAGCATTATAGCACTCTACAATATACAAGTTTTGGTCATTAAGTGATTAAGCTATGGGCTCATGGACTGAGGTAAAAATTTCCAGTAGATTACAAAGCATTACTTTCCAGGCAACAGAAATCATTATTTTCATCACTATGAGAACCCAAACTCAACATTTAACCCACACACTTTTTTTTTTGTGCAATACACGAAGGGTATGCACTATTTAATGGCAAAGCAAAGCCTTAGACAGCACAGCCACTGGGAGGATGTAAAAGTAAAGGATGAGAAAGAGTTAACATAATGATGACACAAAAGAAGGATAACATCAGATATTACTTATTTACCTTTCCCTTACAGGTGGGAAAAGGGGCTTATTTGTCTTCCTTCCTCCACCACCATCTCCAGCACTGCCTGCATCTAACGAGTTTGACTTGCGATGATTTCCACTGCTGCCAGAGGCACTACCGTCACTCGACCTATCACAAACAAAACACAAGAGTGTGATAAAAACAAAATGGTAACAAATTAAATCAAATTTTAAATTTTCCGTGGAAATAAAAATACATAGTACTTCCTGTCATTAGGTTTCTGCAGCTTATGTTCAATGTATGACTTTATCTTTCAGAAATATGCAGCACTACAGAATTATTCTGGCTTTAAAACATTTCAGTAAACACTGCAGTTGTCCACTTAAGGATTTCTTCTGGTTTGTCCAATCACAAGTTTGCTCCTGTCCCCACCTCAATGTACACAGCGAGACCTATCCCCGTTGAAAGACACCAAGCCTGAACACGGCAAGTGCAACATCTGCTGAACACACTGGAAAACCTTCAACACTCTTCACATTACATTCCAGAAAGCCAGCCACACATTAACATAAAAGTGTTCATCTGATATCTTATCACTATAATATTTTATTTATTTACAGTTTACTTAAAACACTGTCAATAACATAGATTAAGGGGAATTACTGGAGAAGAACCATATACTTATAGACAATTTCAGATATTCTTGGCAAGACCAGTTAAAAAAAACTGAATTATAAGGTCAGGAATTATCCATGTAGTTGCTGTCCATGTGTTTACAGCTGGCTGCTCTCAATAGAACATGCAATAGATTTGGTTGAGTCAACTGAGATAAGCATTGTGGGGTGTGCATGGGTCACATAACAAGTCATCAGTTCTACTGCATTACCCACCCTCCCATAGCACAGCTGCAAGTGTTACCCTGCTACTTCTTCTCATACTTCTCATGTCCAACTCAGAGGTCACGTCTAAAAACATGAACTATATTTGTAGGGTTTGCAGTCCTCACAGCGGTGGTTATGGGCAGCAGTATCATCTGGGATATATATAACACCATGTAGTCCACTAAAAGTCAACAGATGTTTCAGAAGAAACAGACTATACAGCATTATATCTCAGAATATAATATTCTTCATGGGTTGTATTTGTTTCAGAGAAAAAGACATTTGACCACACGCAACATATCATATTTGACGATAATTTTATTAACATTCTAAACAATCTGCATGGAGTACGGCAGTAAAGGAAATGGGACACAGATGGGGTACCAGGTGAAACAATCCACAATTACCAGCAAACTTAGGATGTCAGATTAATGCATCCTGGGATGCCATATTATGTAATGTGACAGTTACCAATGTTTTGAATGAATTTGCGTCTTCCATCTTCAGGACATAAATATATTCTGAAAAAGATTGTATGATTTATGGAAAGGGAGGACCTGAACCACAATTCTGGGCAAACCAGCAGGAGTAAGAACAGCAAAAAGAATATTCTTTAACTACCTTGTATTGGTTTAATACAGAACCATGATTTCTCCCATTCACAATGCCCTTGGAGAGCCAATATTCTTTGCGCATTCCTCTTACTCCTTACTATTGGCTCACCCCAAGACCGCATCCTGCTTCCCCATCTCTCTACATCCATAACAGTTTTCCAAGCTTGGCTTACTCTTCTAACCTGAAGATGCAGACTACACATTCCTCCAAAATGTTGGTAACCATCGACCAGTATACACAGTGTTACATGGTGACTCATGTAGGATAAATTCTAGCAAGATGCAACATACTTCCAAAGAGCAAGTGCAGCAGATTGGAAACAAATTATGAAAGAAAGGAGCAACCAACCTTCCGAAGTGGGCCAGATTAGCCATGACTACATTGGGTCGCTGTTCTTTATGTTTAATTCTCTGTGAGCCCGAAGAAGCAGAAGAGCCAAAGAGGCGATGATGTGCGGTACTACCATCTAGTGGAAGAACCTGTAGAAGCTGACTGGGACACGAGCCAGACCTGTGAGTGGCACAAGGATACACAAACAAACAAACTAACAACACAAAGTGCAAGGTTAGGTTCGGTTAGATAAGCAGAATGGGACCCATTCACCAGAATTTTATTTGTTTTTATTTATAGTTTATTTAACAATGCTGTCAGTAGTTCAGGCTTTAAAGTGTTGAATGGTTCTATGATCAATGAATAATGAGTCGAGAAGGACCTGGAAAGCATCTGAGGTTCTCACAGCAGCGGTTATAAAAAAGTACTACCTCCTGGGATGCGATATGCAGTCCAGTATGTTCACTGATGTTTCAGGGGAACATACTGCCTCTGTCTTCAGGGTCAAAGATTAGATTAAGCAAGCTCCACTTGCAGCTTGTTTCTTTCTCATCGATCTCAAATATGGTGGTATGTATGTTCCTCTGAAACGCTGGTGACCTCCTGGACAACACTGAGACACATCACAAATGATATGAGTTTTCAGTTGGAAATGACATGGAAGCAAGCAGCTGTTGAGATTCAAACATGAGACATCCAAAATATGAAACAGGAGAGCTGTCCACTCAACCGTAGAGTTAGGGTGTACCATGATGGTACAATATATATATAACAGTACCACAATTTTCAAACTTAAACATATTAAAGCCATACAAAATCCCACATCCTGTGGATCATATGACTGACGGATTTCCCGAAAAATATCTTACAAACCCTTCATCTGACGAATGGGAACCACGTGATTTAATTTATGCCAAAGCAACAAAGGGAAAGAAGCCATATTGCAATTGAAGCATTAGGGAACAATGGTGAACTAACTCAATGAACAAATAGACAAAAATAATATTTACTGAGGGACAGTTATTCTAACAATGTATTATGGTCCTAACCCTTCAAAGAAAAGTGGTTACTATATACACCACCTGTTTTGATACTAAAAAATTACATATTCTGCCCTCAGAATATACTAAAGTAGAACACCTATTTAATGTTCCCTATATAAAAATATCCTTCACTTAATGTTCAATTTCAATAACACAAACCAATAATCCCAGTGTTAAATTTCCTCCATTTAAAATTTTCCTCAGTTCAGTGTTCAAAACCTTTGGCCCCCAAAAGAAGAGGTTACACTGTATTAATGGGTTTTGGTATCTTCTTAAACTAAACTAACTGAACAGTTTTTGTAATGGAAACACAGTCTGTTTACTGTGATGCAATAACTGAATTTTAAACACTATTTAGTTGACCTTCAGGCTTCAAAGGGTTAATGAAATATACTGTATCTATAAATGTATTAATATTTGTTAAGAATATTTTAATGCAGAATGAGAAAGAAGAAGGTTGTCCATTTTTGTATCGTTATTCTGTGAAACTGTGAACAAAGATATTCTGACATGAAACATATTTACACAGCAGTAGTCATTCTCATAATAAAGTCACGTGTATTCAAGCATCACTTAGGTCAGACATGCCGAAAACAACTATTTCATGCACATACAAACATTCACTGTACACACCTCTAATTCAGTAGTTTGTACCTTCTGATCTAATTCCAGCATTCCTACAGAAAATGTCCATTTATTGCTTTTAGAGAATGGGTGATTACTGTCAAATATTTTTGGTAACTTGAGATGACTGGGCATCTGGGCTTTGTCCATCATATTCTAAGGGAACACAAAGTTTCTGAAACTGATCTGTTTCCATCCTCGGATGAAGGGGGGGGGTCTCCTACTCAGTTGGCCCCATTAGATAATACCAATCTCAGTCACTGGACCTGGAGGTGACGTACCTGACATTCAGTAATCCTTATAACACACCACCAACAAAAGAGCCTTTCAAAACCGACTTTTAATAATTATTTATTTATTTAAATGCATTCCATCCCAATTGTAAAATGAATACATTGTACTGAAGATACAAAATTGATGAAAAAGAGAAAAGAAGTTGCAGCAGAAACACCTACAAAATAAAAATATGAAATATTCACGACATTAAAAAAATTTGTCAAATACAGGGGGGAAGGGGAAGCGAGGTTGGAAAATAATGATGAGTTTAAAGTAATAGAAAGTTTACCAGTACAAGTATTGTTTTTAAATATCACCGTGAGGGATGAAAAAACAGCTTTGTTTTCTTTTTTCCCCCACCAGTCAGTTATCTGGGTAACTAGTCTATATTGCAAATGTGGAGTTAGGACAGCTGTCAGTATAATGACAAGGCTACAGGCTGCATTATCAAGGGGAAAAATCTGATTATTGGCAGAGAGATATTTCTCTTCATAGAGTGCAGACCAGCTCTGGGGCCCATCCAGCCTCCCATTCAAGGTGTACAGGAGGTAATGCTGCTTCAATGTGTCACTGACCATTCACATTCTAAGAGTGTCAAGGTTAAGAATGTGTGGCAATATACTTCCATCCTCTAATACATCTTCATGGCATGCTTAATTACGAATGGAAAAACTTTACCGTTGTTAAATTTTATACGTAATGTTATAATGCTTCAGACTAGTTCTTACTGGTATATATTTGTATGCTTGTGGTTTATCTAATTTTGTTACCAGGCAGATCCTACACTTCTAATTAGTGTAGAAATGGAGATTGCTGTCTTCTGATTTGTGACGCCATGCAATCTGGTAGAAATACATCAACATTTTAGCCTCTTCTGTGTGCTATTTTAAAACAGTGTCATAATTATCCAGACTATATGATGCTGAACAACAGGATGATATGCACTGGGAAAAATTAAAACGACAGCAGTAACACCTGATCTGTATTATCCTGGAATGTGCCTGGGGACAATTCAAGAGGCAGTGGCTTCCTTCCAAAACACTGGTACCTTTCAGCCAGACTGTAAGGTGTCACATGCCAAAAGACAGTAATGTCCATATTAACCACTTGAGAACCTAGTTACTTCACAAGTGCAGGAATGTTTCCGTTTCTTGGCAACAGGGAGATGCGTAAGATGAAAAAAAAAAGAGTTCTCAGGAAGAATGCCATTGGGCCATCTTGTTATAACAGATAAATTGTCACTGCAAGACATCACAGAGGCACATACACACACAACATGAACTGTAGTTAGAAGCTGAACAACACACAACATTCAGATAAATTAAAAATGAACTTACCTTCAACGGATGTCTGTACACCACGTTTTCTAGCATTAGGGAAAGGAATGTATATCATGAAGACAGAAATTTCATGGATTCTACCTTACCTGACATGCACAGGGTGCTGAGGACTCACTGCCACTCCTCCATCATCAAACACTGGATTGTCCATAGAATACGTAGCGGGCGGTGGGGATTTGGACTTCTTGATGCTGGTGAAACGACTCATAAGTCCTCCTTTTGCTTTCTTTTCTTTAGCCTGATAATAATTAAAAAATGAAATGCACATGATGTTAGAGTAGAGTTAGCTGTTGGAATTGCTAGGTTCTTGGACTTCGTCCATCTTCCAGTATTCTAAAAACACTATACACAGCGTTTCGGAAACTGGATCTGTTTCCGTCCTTAGGCGAAAGGGGAAGACACCTACTCTGTTTGGCCCGTTACAGAGCGCTAAACTCAATCACTGAACCCTTTATAATCTAAAGTTAGCTAACTTTCAAAAATATCACTTAATTAACCCTTTCACTGCTAGTTTGTTAAGTAACTCTCAGTACCCTCTGTGCTGAATTATTTTTTAATAAATCTTTTATAAATAATTTAAGTGCAAAATATGAAAATTGGTGATAAAATGTAACTAATCTTACCTCAGACAGGGAACAGGCAGCAGAAGTTGCAAAAATGTTGAATTATTCAGTATTTTTCACAAAGGAAAAGTCCATTTAAATCAGGGTTGTCCAAGATGCCCAGAAAAGTACATAATTCACTATCCTAGTCTTATCACTATGTTACCTATTGACCAAAGTCCACAACTTTATTGAAAACTATTACCGAAAGCACTGCACACTATACAAAGCCATTTTTACTAGCCCTGCGAAATACCCGTCTCACATGACCACGGAGCACATGCCTCGGTGTGCAGATGCAACCTTTTTACATTTCTTAACCTAGAGGGCACAAGAATGCAGCCATCGAAATGATGCTTCATTCCATTCCCAATATTTGACTCTATGCACCCGCCAAGTTTGAATGAGATTGGTGCAAAGAAACCTGAGATTTGAAAATCTAAGTTGCAATATGGGATTTGTCGATCGCAACAAGGACACCCTCTTTTTCAGAGATCGACATATGTCGACCGCAGCGGTGTAAGGGTTAAAGAACTCATAAATATATAAGATTTACAGAAAAAGAAAAATCAACAGTTATTAAGAATGCAGGCGATAATAATCAGGTTCAGACACACTACGATTTAGATCCCTGGCCTCGCCTATATGCACACACACACACACAAAAACTCAAAGAAGAGAATGCAGTACTGTTCTCAGGATTACTTCGAGTCCAGACATCAAAGCATTCATTCGCTAAGTCTGCAGCAGATGCAGTACAACATAGCAGCATGTCTAGAGGTGGGAAGAATCATCAGGTGATTCATTTGCAAAGCAGAGAGCATGACAATGTGTGTGGTAAACATGTGACCACCTGGAAATCCTACATTAAGGTACACAGGGCTATGCTCTTGTATCAGGGGTCATATAGCCTTGGTATGATTTAACTCAATGGAGTATAGTCCTTCTTTGGCACCTGTTATTTGTTCAGTTGGTCAAGAAATTCCCCACCTTTTATGCAACATCGAGGTTCACATCTCCAAACCCTACTACCTTAAGATCCATTTTAATTTATTACATTACATCTGAAAACCAAGGAAGCAGGGTTAGATTCCAGACAGGGGCAAGAGATTTTGCTCTTCCCCACAGCAACCAGACTAGCACCACAGCCCACCAAGATTTCTATCCAGCAGGTTCTGTAGGCTCTTTCTTTGGGGGTAAAGAAATGAGGCATGAAGCCAACCTCTCACCTCCATAGTATCAAGTATGTGTGTAGATACACCTCCATTCTCCTACATAACTATGTGGCACAGAGACCTTACCATCCATTATCTTCTACCTTCAATACATCTGAGACACTTTTACAGATGATTATACAGCATTTCCTACAGAATATTTCATAAAATTACAACAGAAAGGCTGCAACTAATTGACTCTACCTTATCCGATGGTCTACTGCTCATGGCTGTAACTGAAACATTTGGTGGTGGTGCAACAGTAGTTGACATGTGGCCACCACTGCTGCGACCCAACGTACTGCTCGTAGTATCAAAGCTATGAGTCGCAGTACTGCCGGTTGCCATAACTGCACTATGGCTGCGACCAAGAGTGACTGGGGTGGAGCTGGAAGTCAGTTCTGACCCAAATGTCCCAGACTGCTGAGGGTGTTGTCCATGCCAAGATGAAGAGATAGCAGAACCATGATGCAATGATGATGATGATGATATGGACGGGGAACCATGTTGATGGGACAAGGAGAGGGAAGGGCTGCATGACCGGGGAGGAAGCTCAGGAGGAATCTGTGATGTAATTGCACTAGTGGTGACTGCTGAAAGAAGAAAAGTAAGTAATTTCAAATTATGAACATTGTGGAAGCACAGGCAGACCAAGATGCATGCCTGTATGGCTCAATTTTAGGAATGGCAGATTTTAAAAGTTTCATTTTAAAGAAAACTAAATTCTGCTAGTCCTTTGTTCACGTTGAGACAATGACAGTCACCTGAACATCATGCAACATAAAACTATTTTAAGAATTAAATTTTAAAAGTTACGCTTGTTTTCACCACAGCGTCTGGGAACTTCATATTATTAATTGCGAAGAAGTTCTAAGAATTAATAGTGGGGGGTGGAGTCCAGCTGGGTCCACTCAGCACGCTGGCCACTGATTGGCCTATTGTACCTGCCCCAGGTGATTATGATGGAGAATTTGGTGGAATGAAGATTGGCATGGGAAACCGAAGTACTCGGAGAAAACCTGCCCCAGTACCACTTAGTCCACCACAAATCCCACTTCACCAGACCCGGGCTTGAACCCGGGCTGCCACGATGAAGTTCTAAGAAAGCTGCTGCTTTTAACTGGCGGTGGGATCCTCATCTCCTGGAGTGGCATTCAGACATTCAGTGGCCCCACCTTCAGTACACAAGGGAGACATCTGGTAAATATGAACAATTGTTTGTTCTTCTTCAAAAATGTGTCATGTATCAAACTGTATCCAAAATGCAGGATCCAGCACCAGCAAAGAGATCCCTTTTACAAAAAAATCCCATGGACTGGTGCTGGAATCACTGCACCACCTACTCGACAGGTTTGTTGGACTTAGGTCTGCAGCCCTTCAGTACTAACATACCAGAGAATACACATGTAGCTCTCTTCAAAACTTCTCAAGTTACTGACCCTGGGTACTTTTGGTGAAGTCTGTTTTCAATTACTTCCTGCTGAAAATTCAACAGGCTGTATGCTGTCTGAACAACTTACTGCTGTGACTCTGCTGACTATTACGAGGACTGTATACGTGGGGGGACGATCCCTGCTTACTGCTGCCACCACGAGTGAAACTGCGTGGTTCAAGAGGTGGAGTTGATGTTGCAGGATTGTTGCGCGGGGAACCACTACAGCTGCCACTACCAGATATGGTTCCCTGTTGTGGTGATGTGGATGAGCTGTTGGGACCTCGTGTAAGACCAAGCAACTGTGCCTGTCCAGCTGTTAGGGACCTGTTGGGTGAAAAAATAAAGAAAGATGTTAATACACTGATTGGCTGATTTCCAGTGCCTCCAGATATGGTCTCCGTGGACATTTCTGATGTCTTCTCGCTTAGACAAAGCTAGAGAACCTCTTTCTGAGGTGGGAGTATCTAATAATTGACCATACACACACAATTTTATTTGGGACTTCAACAACAGTTGTAAAGTATATGGTTAAGTCTGTGCTAAATAAAAACCATCTTTGGACACTGACATGTACTAAGAAGCCAGAGGCTGAGACCATGGATTTAATATGCTATAATAAACAACCTGTGTTTGTAGGAGATAACTGATGACTGTCAAGGGCAGAGGTTCTTCTGTTCACCACAGCATCCAGACAAGCTCTGTGGCCCAACATGCATCCTGCCCAGTAGATACACTACCCCACTGGTAAAGTGTAAGTTCAGAAAGCAGTACCCACCTGATAGGTGTAACATAATTTCCAGGAAAAACTCCACATTTCTGCGCACGACTGGAGGTGCCTTTGAACCAACCATCCTGACACCTCTCAGTAACTGTATATATTGCACCCTTCTTCAGTTCCAGTTCGTCAGCTTTGTGGGGCTTGTATGGGTAGAGTGCGATGTATGCTGCAGGCAACTGAGTAGTTGGGATGTGGTGTGGTGCTCCTTGTGGGGGTGGTGGAGTCAATCCACTGCCTACCATTGGTGCTGTTGTGTCACTACTTCCTGATCGTCGATGTTGCTGGCTACCTTGCCGCTGAACTAGTTCGCCACTACCACCCACCTGAAATATCATTAGTTATAACATTCATGGAACTACTATTATAATAGTAGTTAAACTAGTTAAACTAGTAGTTAAACCAGTGTTTCACTATAATTATAGTGAAACACTGGTTTAACTTTTCTCTTGGGACCAGTAACACTAGAATGAGGAAAATCTCAAATGGAAGAAATTAATTTTGAGAGCAATAACTTGAAATTTTTTAATTAACGTTCAATGAGGAAAAACCTTAAATCAAGGAACATTAAATGAGGGTCGCATTGCAGATAATAAACTATGAATCCTCAGACATTTGGGGCATGCTCACACATTGTAAACCAGCATACACTTCATGATGTGCGAGGTTCTCATGGTGGTGAATATTAACCTTTATCATCCATGAATACTGGTTTTACACATCCTGACATTAAGGGGTACAAACTGTATTCAGGAGCAACAATTTTATCACCAGGAAACAGTGGATTTAAAACCTCAAACTTCTACATTGGTGGCAGCCTTATTTAAACTCAGGAATAATAGTATTACTATTTAAGAAATAAGATACTCAGCCAGCAGGGGTACATAATACATACACCCCAATTACCTAAACATGGTCAATAATATTAACACATCCAAATCGGTAGTGTAGTTGGTTGAGGCACTATGCTACAAGCCGGAAGGTCGCGGGTTCAAGTCCCAATGAGGTCAATGGATTTTTTCAATTGGCCTAATCCTTCCAGCAGCACTATGGCCCTGGGGTTTACTCAGCCTCTAACAGAAATGAGTACCAGGAATTAATTAAATACTTTTCCTGAGGACTAAAGTATGGCCGGTGCGTAAGGCTGACAACTTTACCGCCACCTTTGAGCCGATTGTCTAGATAATGTGGGACCCTCAACGTCTCACAACCCTATGGGCCTTCATGGCCTGTTACAGGGATAGCTTTACTTACTTTACTTTTACATCTGTAAGCACAAACATGCGGGGTTATGAAACTGACCTGTATTACAACAGCACATAAATGCGTAACAGTATATGTCCACTCATCTTATTGTTTCATTAAGCTTCAAATTTCTTTGCTGTCCCTCAGACTTCAATGATACTCACACATATTATGCTGACATCTGGTAGAGAAGTCGGCATTGACGCATACTGCTATTTACAGATCTGCTTAATTTTGGAACAAATCTGATGGTCATACAGGCATTTTGACACTTTTCATCTTTCTGCTTATCCTATCTCCACAATTAACTAACCTGTGACTGCAGGGTGTGTTCTGGGCTAAGACAATCTTGTGATGTTTCAGTAGGGCTCAAAATCTCAGCAGAGTGCCTGTAAAACACAAACATCCATGACATATAGATGTAATAAAATAAATACACCTGGAACAGATAGATTATACTGAGGTAACAAAAGAAGTCCTTCCACATCATCCTTCAGCTGTTATGCTTCCTTCTTCAGCATATTTCCCTACATTCCTCTCCAGTCATCCAGCACTCTGTTCAGATGAATGTTGGTAGTGATACACTTTGCAAGTGATGAGAACTTTTGACTGGTTGACATAGGTCAGAAGGGGCTGGAGAAGCATATAACAGCAGTAGTGAGGAGTTTCCAGTGTTGTCATCCCCACCATTTATGGGACTTTTTTATACAAACCGAGTACAGTAAAACTGTGCTTTTGTACAGGCACAAACACTGGCTATTCTCAGAAACTACAACCACTCATAAACCACACACAATTTTGTTACATTTTCTCATGATGTATTTATATGCTTCTTGTCTCTATCAAAACTCACTCGACTGTGTATTTTCGCTACATGTGTAATTTATTTTTCTTATTATTTTTATAGTGGGGTGTGACAGACTCTCTTGGTACTTAGGCTGTAAATGAGTGCTATTAAGTGAAATCAGTCTAAATCCATTCAAGGCATTAAAATGCAATTTTACCTCACATGAAACAAGGAGGATCTGTACTCTCTTCAACAAAGGCCATGTAGAATATGAAAGAAGGACAAATGTTGTCACCTGATATCCAGAGCAGGACATAGCTAGTTATAACGTCATCCAAATCAGCCATACCCAAATATAAAATTGCAAAACAAAATTCATGATGTTCTGACTGGCCTGATCCACAGAGGGTTGATGGGTAATTCGGTACTCAAAAGCCTTGCCTTTCAGAGGAACTAGAGTCTACAGATTCACCTGTGAGAAGTCTGGTGGTGATGTCCTGTGTGCAGCACACTAAAGCTGTGACGTTTCTCTCTGTGCTGTGCAGAAGGGGCATGATGACCAGGTGTGCCATGATGTGGAGGAAGGGCATGAGGTGGGGATATGTTAGGATTGTGTGCTGGCCTGGGAGGAGGTGGAGTCACAACATTGTGGGGAGGAGGAGTGATGACTGGAACTGGTATCCGTGGTGGGGGAGGAGACGTAGGAGATGATGGAGCTGTGCTGGAGCTAGACGAAGTGTTGCTCGATGACATGTTAGGCGTTGTCGAAGACGAGGCTGATGATGGGGTTGAACTTGAATCTGAAGTCGTCACTGGGACAGGGATGTTGCTACCACTACTGCCTACCGTAAGGTTTGTGTTGGAAATCTGATGCTGGTGTGTCAGCTGAGATGATGGCATAACAGCTGTAGCATTGCCACTTACATTTCCTGCCAATAGAATCATAAAATAAACATATGGTGGCTAATGAAATCAAATGATAAAACCAGATTTAGAGCTGCTGAAATGATAAGTATGAGATGGCAAGTGACAGTCTGATGGACAACAGAAATGACAACATATTAAAAAGATTAAAAACTGACCTGACACTGAACAAAATTTCAAGATATAAAACCCATTATGTTCAACATGTCCACAGAATGCAAAGCAAAAGATTTCCAAAACTATTAAAAATTACAAACTGCATGGAACAAATGGAGGGGCCTCTAAAGGGATGGACTAAATAAGGTTAGCACAGGTCAACAAGTGGCCGAGATCCCTGATTGCTACATGACAATAGTGATGATGACAATTACATGTAACTTACTTAACCGTGTGCTAAAATGTTGGGTGATCAGCTAGGTCAATGTTGAACTAAAAGCCAACATTTCAGATATCTTCTCAGTCGCCCAACATCAGGGTTAATGTGGGGAATGACCGTATGTCACCGATATTTATTCTCATATAAATACCAACGACATATGGTCATTCCCCACATCAACCCTGATGATCGATATCAAAGACAACACTGACATAGCTGATCACCACAGCAAACTTTAGCAAATTTATTCAACATGAAAGCTTCAATTATTACAGTATTTAATTTTCTCCACAGAGCATTGTGATAGTGAATGTCTTAATCTAGATACTATCCTAATATCTGGCAGGAGGGGCAGAGCAGACAAAATACATCCGCCATGAAAGTCTGTATCCAGGCAGAGAACTGAACTGTGAGCCTTCTGAATACAGATCAGAACTGTTACTGCCTGAATTCATGTCCTCAGTGTAAAGGCCGTGAATGTGTTGCTTTTTCTTGAAAGGAGAAACACTTGACCTGTCTTCACAAAGAGGAATTCTGGCTGCCAAATGCAGATGGGGTCTTCATCTGGGTATAAACTAGAAACATTCACTAAAGAAACATTCTGTGTCTAGGGAAGACACACCATTACATATTAACATACACCCTCCAGGAATAAGTGATCTAAACTGTCCCCTACCATGGTGCTAGCAGCCAGATTTTATCTTCAGGGCTAAAAAAATACAAGGCTATGCCAGTTGGATGAGCAAACACACTGTCACAATAGTACAACACATCGCTAATACAGGATAAGGAAGCAGTCCACAATTTCTTCACATACTAACAAAGTTTTATGGGGCACACGGTAGTGTAGCTGGTTGAGGAAATATGCTACAAGCCAGAAGGTCACGGGATCGAATCCCAATGAGGTGGGTTTTTCAATTGACTTAATCCTTCCAGCCATGCTATGGCCCTGGGGTCAACTCTGCCTCTAACAGCCTCAACATCCCACAACCCTATGGGCCTCCACGGCCTGTTAAGGGGATACCTTTGCTTTTACTTTACTAACAAAGTTTTATGAAGACAGATGTCATTCAAGGCATTTTGTTCATCAGCCCATATATATATAACAGGTATGATGCCACAAAGGAGACAGAAAAAGGGGAAAAAATAGAAAGAGAAAGAGAAGAAGGAAGTGAAGGAGAAGAGAGAGGTGGAGGTGGAGGAGACGACGATCATGATACTGTCACGTGTTGGGTATGCCATGTGATAAATAACTTCACGTAGGTCAAGGATGTAGCGACTATTTATTCTACACTCACACTTGCAGTCACACTTAAAATCATTATCCTGTTCAGTATCACAATTACTGTTCAACTATATCTCAAAGAATCCATTCAACTGTCTCCAATGGCAGCTATACTAAGACTCCAACTTATACTGAATACTCAATCCTCCATACTAGTAACTCTCTCGTAGGCCATGCCATAGCTCAAGTGGTTAGTCACTGGCTTCCCACCACGGCAACCCGGGTCTGGTCAAGTGGGATTTGTGGTGGACAAAGTGGCGCTTGGGCAGGTTTTCTCTGAGTACTTCAGTTTCACCTGCCAATCTTCATTCCACTAATTGCTCCACAATCACCCTCACCTACCATCTGGGGTTGGTACAGTAGGCCAGAAGTGGCCGCAGTACAAGGGACTTAGTCCCACCCCACTAGCAATTAAAAAAAACTCTCTCATAACTCAATCCTACTGAATAGTGTTCGCTGCTACTTATATAGGCTTGGCACGGACCACACAGAGAACACATTGCTGCTCGGCAACAGATATCGGTTATTGTTGTCAGATGTGTCTAACCACACATTGCCTAGCAAGAGACGCTCTACTGTTGCGTTACATCACAGCCTAATGGGGAGGGGTGTTTACCAAGTGTTCTTATGCAACGAACACTAGTTGCTACAGATATTCCTATGCAACAGTCTACTGTTATTGCGTTACCACGGAAGCATCTACTCCAAACACATTACAATACTATCACGCATTGTCTAATCTCACATAATGTCTTACCTAGATTTGCTGCAGTCCCATGCTGCTGCTGCTGCTGCTGCTGCTGTTGACGGGATGTGAGAGAATTGGCAACAGTGCGGGTGTGGTCTGTTGGAATCAGTGGAGTGGTGTCTTCAGAAGTTGGTGTAGGTGGAGCAACTCGCGAGGGTCCAGGTTGGGAGCTATGACAATAAGAACACATCAGCGGAGCTGACTACATATAAAGAGATGCCAATTCAAGGTTGAAAATGAACAATTTCGCTCAAAAACAGAAAAATCAAAATCCAAACCCTGACATCTTCATGAAGCCATATAACATAACAAAATTTAATTTGAAGCTCTTTATATAGAAAGAAGTAATGCGCTGAAAACAAGAATATTTAAAATTAAGGAAATGAAACAATTTTAAACATGTTTACACCTACAGTTTAGTTAACGGTATTGTCAACAAATCAGTCTGCACTGGAACTCTGATTTAATGTTACTCAATTTAAAGTTTTCCTTCATTTGGCATCAAATTTCAACAATTCCAAGCAAATATCCTCTGTATTAATTTTCATTCCTTTAAAACATTTTCTTCTGCTTAGTGCTCAAAGCCACTGGTCCCAATACAAACCTCAGATGGAGTGTATAGCATTCAATGGTAGAATGATTAGTGATTAATTAACAGGAAACAATGAAGGAAGCAGTCATAACAAATCTGAAATATGAAACATTTTTCTACCCTGAAGCTGGATGCAATAAACTCCTCTGAAATGCTTTTAAGTACCTATCAGAGTACACAGTATCAGACCTTAGAAGACAATAATGTTCATAATCTAAGACACTACACCAGCATGTCCCTCAAAGGACTGAGAAAAACCATGAAAACTTCAGTCCAGATAGCTGGTCTACGGACTGAGTTTTGAACTCATGGCCTCCCACATAAAAATGAAGTGTTACTCAACTGAAAGCAATATAAGGTACTTAACTCATATAATACCAACAGTATAATCTTGGCTCTCTCACTTTTCTGCGGATTCTTTTACAACACTGTCAATATCTACACTGTATAGCATCAAATGGGGGAACAAAAGGATGAATTGAAATGGATTTAGAAGAAAACAGCCATGCCTTAACTGAGGTACTACACCAGCATTTACCTGGAGGGTCTGAGAAAAACCATAAAAAAGTCCATTAGGATAGCCAGTGTCCTGGCACAAGTTTAAGCTGAACACAAAAATAGAGCATTACTGATACATAAATATATTTGGTATGAATTTCTCAATGAAGATGGATGGTTCTAGGTTTCAAACGGTCACAGCAGATCATTCTAATTATTGTGGGAGTAGGAACGGCATATTAGCATATTAACAGAAGGTGACTAATTACCAACCCAGATTACTGTAGAAGACCACACACAGCCCTTACTTACAGGTATCACTTAGCATTATTTCACTCATTTGTACATTTTACCTGATTTCACTTAGCACTAAGCAATTCACATTACAACAGTCAAGTGCATCTTACGGCAGCAGCTTGTTCAGAGATCAATTTGGTCCATATCGCATCAGAAGGAAAAAGTTTCCCTCTGAAATTTTGTTGTTTTGTTTGTTTCTTTCGTTTGAACCTTTCAAGCCTACTCTCATCAGTCAGAAAATGTGAGTATATAATTACATGTTGATTTTGCTCTTGGACCTTTCTAGTATGTGATTGCAAACAAATTGTATTTGAGGTTCTCACGGCATTCCATCTTCTAGGATGTAACTCCATGCAGTCTGGTAAATGTGAGTCAATACTATCAAAGAACATATCACCATCATTTTCAAAGTTAAAGAGTAAGCCATGCAAGAAACCTGCATGATGCAGGGGGCAACAGCTGACTCCCATCAGACTACACAGCGTTGTATCTCAGAATTCTCCAAACAAACTGTAATTCAAATGTGATTCAGATTCGGTACTTTACTATTTCCAGATGTAACATCCTTCACAATTACAACTACACATGACACAAGGACACTACACAAGGAAACACAAGCACCACCACAAAAACACACCAACCTACAATACATGCTGTGCATATATGAAATTATACTGCGGATTTTAGTTAGTTAGTTAGTTAGTTATTGGAGAGGGTGGGTTTCCCCATGCACTTAGACCTGTAGTCTATGATTTCTACCAGTCTCTATATCCTACCGGTATTGGTGCTTACCATCAGTCCCGGCCAGCCAGCGAGACCGGCTCTACTAGCCGAGAGGTATCTATAATGCTTCCCCCATCTACCAGAGGTATTAGAGACTACTGGTGGGCGGGAAACGTCCGCAATTTTGGCTCAGTGACCTCCTTTGGAGGTATGAGGTTCTTTTACATGCCGTAAAGCTACGACACGGGACCCACGGCTTAAAGTCCCTCCCAGAGGACTTGTTCCCTCAATTTTTCCGCCCTTAAAAATTCGACGACCTCCGCTGGGTATTTGAACCCGCGTACTACGAGTCATGAGGTGGGAACGTTACCTCTAGACTACGGAGGCCGCTTACTGTGGATTTTAAAACTAAATCATAAAACAGAAAACATACCGACATGGTTTACAGCATTGCACAAAAATGCAACTATTTTTCCAACAATTTTAATGCACCTGATGATGGCAAACAGACTGAAACATGTTGAGCAATAGATGTGTTAAATAAAGACATACAACTCAAAACAAATGACAGTTTTAAAGTTTTAAAACTTTTAGTGTGAGTTGCATGCAAGATGGCAGTGAATACATGAATAAAAAAGCAGACACAGTGCAACAGGATGCTACAACCTTATTTCACAATAAAGTTAGGACATCCTTCATTCCGGACATCTTTCTGACTTACTTTGTAGAAAGCTTCATAAGAGCTCTTGCCACACTGTTCAGCTCAACAAAAGCCAAAGGAAAAATTCCAATACGGTCTCCAAGCTTCCCTTCTGCCCAATTCTCATCAACGCGACGGATTACTGTAATAACTTCACCCTGAAAACATCAATACCAGCACACCACTGTTATATCAAAGTTTAATTTCCTATGAGAGGAATAATAGGCTGTGGAGGCTGGGTGAGAGCAAGCTGAGGAATATATCTGGACCCAAGAGGGAGGAAGCATGGGAGCTAGGAGGCATATTTCCAAGAGGCAGAAAGTCAAAAGGCTGCTTAAACTTACACTTAAGCCATTTATGAACATTTCTGTGGACTGACCTAGAGGACTCAGGATAGAAGAACATTCTAAAAAAAAATAATTACTGAACACATTAGCAACATATTTTTTCCCTTATTTTGAATTCTGAATTTTCCACAAAGCCCCCCCATTCACTTCAAATTCTCTGATCTTAAACAGTTCCTGTTAGGGTCATCAAGTCAAAGATCAGATGAGTGGGATATGTAGCATGCATCAGAGGGATTAGAAATGTGTAGAAAACTTTTGTTAAGTGAACCTGAATCATTGCAATATTCCCAACAGACTATGTAGCTGCATAGTCTTACTGTTTCTTTATTGGTGTAAAAAATGCTGAATAAATGGAGGAACTCATGCAAACTAAGTAAAGAGTTCCTTAGTGCAGAACCCTTCATAAGTAATAGTTTCTCAGCTAGTCAAGAAACCCCAATCAGCCAGAAGAATCCAGTCTACAACCTCCCGTCTATGGACCTTTACAGTGATCTCCAAGATGGGAGTAACTGTGATTTTCGTAGGTCACATGTTACAGGTAGTAATGACGCCATCCTCTATGAGGTTGGTCGAACTATGGCTGTCTTTGGTGGGGACGCAACATGGACCAGGGATGCGTCAGGACACAGCTTTGGGACACCTCCTCTTGGTCCCACTGGGCAATGACAGTCTCGGGATCTGGATGAATATGACTAGCCAGGACTGGCGGCTAAGTTCCCATAAAGGGCAATGGCATTATGACTGGAGCCTCCCACATGGCGGCATAATGACTCTTGGGTATCACTACGGTCTACCCAGGACGAATGCGGGAGAGCACTCGTATGGGGGTAGCTTTGGCTACTTGAGTTGTTTCACTAGAGTACCAATAAGGCGCACAAGCCTTTGTGTTCAACACTCTAAAACGGTCCGACTAACCCATGTGGAGGGGTGGGAATGTGGGGAGAGTATATGCCACACCCAGGGGCGACTTTCTCAAGCAGGTTTCCTTGTTCACAACCTCATGATTAGTTGGTGTCGCACTACTACTGATCATCTGGGATACCACCCTCCCCGCGAACGAGCACTCTTGGTCCTGGAGGCTTGTGAAGGTTTATCCTTAACAGGACTGAGCCACCTAAGCCAAGGTGTGAGGTATCGTGCTGAGGGCTGCATGGCTCTGGGGTGGGTATTAGCCGGCATTGTGAACGATCTCCTCGGGGTACCAGGCAGCACCCCGTTGTATTCATGCCTTCCACCCATATGGGATGCTGCGTGTGGTGACCTTCCATATCCCCATGACTCGTGGGACCAAAATGAAAGGTACCAAAACAGAAACCAGTCATAAGGACCTTAAACAGAAGAGGGACTCCCCTCCAAGGAGATCCCTACAAGAAATCCTTCAGCAGGGGGTAGGAAGCTCTGGTGCAACATTTAGGTGCCTGGTTGCAACCAGCGAACCTGCTGCTGAAATTTCAGCCAAAAGCAGGGATGAACCAGTGGTGAGAAACCTGAGGGAAAACCAGAAACCACTCTGTTGGGAGTCAGTAGTACTGACATACCACTGCAGGGAGCTAGTACTTCTAGTATACCTAGAGTTGGAGAAGGTCTGGGACACCTAGTCTCTGGAGTAAATGGACTCCATCTAGCGAAGAAGGTACTGTCCAGATGCGCTAGACGGAAACTTAAAAAGGCAAGAGCTAGGGCAAGCAAAGCAGGAACTGGGGGCATTATGCAACCAGGAAATGCAGGCTCGCCCAAGCAGGGAGAAACCCCTACCAATACCCTTAAGAGGCCAAGGTCAGAGGGCAGTACCCCCACAGAAAGAGCCAGAGCTCCAAAAAGGCCCAGGGACCTACAAGGAGGCTGTGACCAACATAAAGGTAGCTATCTTCAGGGAAACATATCCTGAAGATAAGCTAACAGAATATGACCAGAACTCCATTCTGGAAGTACTGGGAAGGGTGTTATGTAGGACTCCATTAGGAGAACTACCACACCTGAAGTCCTACAGACTGGAGGGAGGTCCACCTATTCATATATGTGCTCACCAACAGTCTGGTCAATGGCTTATCAAAGCTACTGACAATTATAGGCTGGAATCGGGGGCCAGACTGAAGGCTACAGATACCAGGAACCTACCCAAGCATGTTAACATGGCTCTCAGGATTAAGGTATTGAGGGATATCACAGACTACTGCTATAGCAGGAAAAAGGAACTCATCATTGGGTGTGATGCCAACGCACATCACATTTTGTTGGGGAGCACTGGCACCAATCCAAGGGGAGAAAGCCTTACGGAATTTCTGGTGAGTTCGAATCTGAATATTCTAAACCTTGGTAATGAACCTACCTTTGTGGTCTGCAATGGGAAGGTTATTGACTTGACACTATGGACAAATAAAATAGGAAATCTGACAAGTTATTGGCAAGTATCCGGCAAACTGTCTCTATCGGACCACAGACACATATGCTTTCAGATAAGTAACATCAAGTTACCTATAGGAATCCCAGGAGAAACCATTGGGACATACAAGGACAACCTAAAGGTGAATCTGGAGATCATTTCCCAAAGTATATGCACAATAAGGGACATAGATCGATCTGTTGACCAGCTGTCCCATTGTCATAATTGTTCAGCCAAGACCCCTCGCTTACCAAGAAATGCACCTTGGTGGAATAACAAGCTGAGTGGGCTAAGAGCTAACACAAGAAAGCTATTTAATACAGCAAAAAGAACAGGGCTGTGGGACACCTACAAGGAAACCCTCACCTGTTATAATAAAGAAATAAGAAAAGCCAAATGATCCTCATGGAGGAGGTACTGCCAGGGGATCAATGATGTACCAGGCAGTGCCAGACTCATGAAGGTCATGGCAAAACAGGCGACCAATAAGGTCAGCTCTATCAAGCTGCCTGATGGTAAGTATACCCAAACTGGGAAAGGTACACTGAAAGAAATGTTCAGAGTTTACTTCCCTGATTCAGGTGATGGGTAGGTCCAGCAGAACCTGGGCATATGTGGACACATAACAAACAGGGGATACTGAAACCTGGCCAATCAGGTAATCAATCAATCAATCAATCAAAAATTATATGGGCATTAGGTACTTTCAAACCATTTAAGTCTGTGAGAACAGATGGAATTGTACCAGCACTTGTGCAGCAAGGGGTGGAACATTTAGTTCCACACCTATGCCGCATATTCAGAGTCTGCATGGTACATGGATTTATTCCTACGGCCTGGAGGCAAGTCAAAGTGACATTTATACTGAAGCCCGGGAAACTTGATTATACCGAGGCTAAGGCTTATCGTCCTATCAGCCTGTCGTCTTTTCTTTTGAAAACAATGGAGAAAGTAGTAGATGGACACATTAGGGATGGTGCATTGAAGATTCATTCTCTGCACCAAAACCAACATGCTTACCAAATAGGTAAATCTACTGAAACTGCACTGCATAATGTGGTAACACGCACAGAAAATTCCATCGAACACAAGGATATTGCCCTTGGAGCATCCCTTGATATAGAGGGAGCCTCTGACAGAATCACTTTGACACAATAAAATAGGCCGCTGAAAGGCATGGCACTGATTCCCCAATATGCAGATGGATCTCTGCTATGCTGGAAAGCAGGAATATAAGTGCTACATTGTCTGGAGAGACCCTGAGAGCATCTGCGGCGAGAGGGTGTCCACAGGGGGGTGTTCTCTTCCCTCTGCTGTGGAGCCTGGTTGTGGATGATGTTCTTTGGGAGCTTAACAGTAAAGGTCATTTCACAGTAGGATATGCTGATGATATAGCAATCCTAATCAATGGTAAATTCCCTTACACTGTGTCAGAGGTCTTACAAACAGCCCTGTACACAGTTCAGCAGTGGTACAAAAGAACAAACTTGTCTATCAATCCAAAAAAAACGGTAATTATACCCTTTACTAGGAGGAGGCATATCAAGGGGCTTAAGGAACCAATCCTCTACAGTCAAGCAATCCAGCTATCCAGTGAAGTCAAGTGCCTTGGAATAACATTAGACAAGGGACTAACATGGAAAAAGCAGCTGGACAAGGCTATTAACAAGACCTAGAAGGCCTTCTGGACATGCAGAGGCACATTTGGAAATACCTGAGGACTGAAACAAAAGGTGGTGTAATGGATATACACTGCTGTAGTAAGACCCATAATTACCTATGCTGCCTAGAGTTAAACTTAAAACAAGTCAGGCAGAACTAAGCAAACTGCAAAGGACGGCCTGCTTGGGAATTACAGGAGCAATAAGAACAGCTCCAACAGCTGCAATGGAAATCCTACCAGGACTCCCCCACTGCATCTGCACATGGAAGCAGAGCTCAAGTTAGGAAATTACAGATTATGTTGCAATGATCAATGGAGACCTAAATCCAAAGGTTTCGGACATGCATGCATGATTCAGGACATGAAAAAAGAACCCATCCTACATATGGGGGTCTGATAAAATGATACCGAAACATGTCTATGATAAACCCTTCATGATAGAAGTGAATGGAAAAAGGGGTTTCAACCCGACAGAAAGGGGGGACTAGTCTGGTATACAGATGGTTCCAAGACAATAAAGGCACTGGAGATTGGGTGTATTGTGATGGAACAGGGCGGAAACGTAGTTTCAGCCTTGGTCAGTATACAACAGTATTCGAGGCAGAAGTGTATGCCATTAAGGCATGCACAGTTGAGAATTTAGATAGAAACTATAAAAATAGGAATATCTATATTCTATCAGATAGTCAAGCTGAAATTAAAGCACTTGGTACACACCAAATCACTTCAAAATTGATCTGGGACTGCCACCAATCCCTCACACAACTGGCCAGACATAACAGAGTTCAGCTGATATGGGTGACAGGCCATGCTGGGAATGAAACCACACATCAGCTGGCAAGAACAGGATCTGAACATCCGTTCATAGGACCTGAACCAGCTTGCGGCATCTCAATTGGAGTTGTCAAGAAAGCGATCAGGGACTGGACTAACAGAAATCACAAAAAACACTGGGAATCCACAACTGGACTCAAAGAGGCAAAAGGATTTACATCAGGACCCTCTGCCAAAAGAACAAAGGACCTGTTGAAATTAAACAGAGATCAATTAAGATGGGTGGTAGGATTACTTACTGGACAGTGCCACCTAAAAGGGCACCTTTTCAAACTGGGACTGACAGATGACCCAACCTGTGAAAGGTGCCTACAAGAAGATGAATCAGCCATACACATCCTATGTGATTATGAGGCTACAGCTTACTTAAGATTTTGCCACCTGGGTCAGTTCTTCATGGAACCAAGTGACTTTTATGATGCCCCACTAAATAAAGTCCTACATTTAATTCGAAGTGTAGGATTAATGAAGGTTAATCCAGAGGGGAAGCACAACAGATCATTGAAGGTCGCGGTGCGAGGACCAGATTTTATGACTCACCCCTCATACTCATACTCATGATCTCTTTCCTTTAGGCCTTCTTGTATTCATTTCTCATCTCACACACATGGCCCACATGCCCCACCCATTGATATGTTCATCCTGTCATTTGGTGAAGGCAACAAATTACCAAGCTCATCATTTTAAGTTTCATATCCATATAAAACAACAGGCAAAATGGTATTTTTTATAGATTTTGATACTTATATTTTTAGATACAGAAGTTACATTGCACACTAATGACATGCTGAAATACACAAAATCCACACATACCTTGTTAAAAGTTAGGCAGCCTTCTTCATCATCATTTGTCATTCGAAAGTCATAAAGGGCCTTACATTGGGGAACATGACTGGGCAGTGGTGTAATGACCTGTGAAATGAAAATTGTAACAGTGACAACATTGCTTGTGTCAGGTATTACACTCATACACAGATATATATAGACATTACAACAAACCTGTACATATGTAAGAGGAAAGACGCCCTGTTTCCCTCCGCTCTCTCCATGGTACCAATTGTTATCAATTTTCTTGCGCAGCAAGATAATATCACCCTTCTTAAAACACAGATCACTGGAAATCAAACAATCTACGGTTAACATAACACAGATAGTGCCTAACATGATACAGGAATTTAATTCTTAAACATTATTTGGATGAAATTTATGCTTTGAAGCGTTAAACACATTCACTACCATTACGGTTTTGGATACCTGATGGCCCAGGACACTTCAGACATATGTCACTACTAGTGTGTATAGCTAGGGACACTGATGAGCATACACTCACTAATGGAGAAGCTGCCAACCAACTGTGCAGCTACTTGAGAACTTCCCAACATTTTATGGAACCCGGAGGTTCATTACCGTGTTCACAAGAGCCCTCCACTGGTCCCTATCCTCAGCCAGATTAATCCAATCCATACCAACCCACCCTATCTCTCTCAAATGAGCACTGCAATACTCAAAAACCATAGCTGACACATGGCGGTGACACAATAATGAAGAAAAACGTCAGGGGTAGACACAAGTTCCCTAGCAGCAGCAAAGTACTATGTCTGTAGAAGTTACCTGTGTCCTCTGTGGCAGTCAGGCAAAGGGTTTACAGGAATATGTGGTGTCGTAAATGGTAACAAGGTAAAGAATGTCCAGGAGGCATCACTATCCTTTGTGGCAATCAACATGTTCGAATCCACCAATTTTTTTCATTTGATTTAATAATACTTAACCAAATATATCTAAAAACATCCCCAGGTCATGTACAGTGGTTGTCTGTGTTGTCTAACTTGAACAAAACCACATCCAGCTTATAAGCATGGATAAGGACTGAAACTATTCAACATAGTAACAATTAACCCTTTCCAGGCTTCAGCAGCGAAAGGCACCTAACTTTAGGATTTCTGTTCCTGCCTGACACACCCAAAAGTGCCTATGACATTCACAAGCATCATCTGCCATCTCTTGGACAACTTAACTAACTTTTGGTCCAATTACAGTTCTACATGTGTACAATGTCTCCTAGAGCCTGTCACTAAGGACATCACAAATTATTCATGTTAATATAAAATATTTCTTTGTACAGCAAAATACTAGATTGAATGCTGCGGTCCTACAGTTTCCAAAGAGGGAAAGAGCTACTTCATGATCAGACTGCTGTTATTAATATACAGAGACAAAGACAAAAGTTGTGTTTGCAGCATTTAATAATTGGACATCATTCACATTTCAACATTCATTCTACCCAAACAGTTAAGGTAAAAGGGTACAGTTGTCCCTGTGCTTAACTAAGCAGCATGCCATGAAGACAACAGGAGGAGAATCCAGATATAGTTCATGCATTCTTTCACTTGAATCTAGTTGGAGGCTGAGTGGTCAGCTCCAGACCCCAGCTGCTTTTCCACTAGGGGAGAATGGCTCGTACCCACTAAATACGAGGCTGTGAGAGCCCCACAGCCCATGAGGACAGTGCTGAAGAGAAAAATCTCATATCTCTGCCATTAACAGTACCTCAGTTCCCTGGTCATCCAGGCTGTAGCCTAATTGCTATACTTACTGAGCTAATCCAGCACTTTAAATATCTACAGAACTTATAAATAATGAAATCTTGCTCATATTGTGATCTCTTGGGGTAAGTCACCAAATTATGAATGTTCACTGCTGTGAAAACCTTAAATATAATTCTGTGTTATAATACTGTTGTCCCCTCAAACTGGTGTTATCCCTGTAACACACTGTACTTACTACGTTTACTAAATACCACCCAATTACAACATATTTTCTCAGTGACCCACCATTTTTTGGCCCTCACAGGGTACACCTTTTGACTAATACTTTAGTACAATTCCTCAACATTTCCACCTTAGTGTTTTCTCATAAAAGGGGGGAAAAGATTTAAGATGAGATGAACAATAACGTGAGAATGCAAGGCAAATGTGCTAAATATTAGTCAAAAGATAGCCCCTCATTATGTCCTGTGAAGGGTTCAAACACACTGGGCTATTCAGAAAATACTGTATTGCAGCTGAATGATATGTATTAATATAGAACACTGGGACATAATGCAAACCGATCCCTTCTTAATTTTAACATATACTTCTTAAAACACACTTTTAAGTTACTTAAGACAGTAAAAATAGTTAGTTTGCCACATTGTTAGCAAGCTACCTTATTGTTCCACAAGTATGATAAAACTCAAAATCTAAAGAGTAAACTGTATTATCAGCATCTTCCACCAAAAAAGAGGGGAGGGGGGGATTTTCCCAATATACTCAGAAGAGTCAGAAAAATAAAGCAGATGTAATGGATGTAATAGGTTTTCTATGGGTATCACTAGGTAGCAGCACAGTCCAGCTTCATGAGTCTAGGTAACAGACACATGTGCAAGTTCAGAGGCTAGTTTCAGTAGTCAAAATGGCAACAGTGCTTGAGGAGTATATTACTGAAGAGTAGCGTTCTATTGTGCGTTTTTTTGTGAGCAAAAGAACTCAATGCAAAGGATATTCAAAGCACAATAGACCACTGTAGGTTGCAGTGCAAGGGCCGAGAAGGCCTACCCCTCATACATACATTCATACATTCAAAGGATATTCAAAAAGAATTGTTTCCTGTTTATGTTGGGAACTGTTTGTCGCATAAACTGGTTCATAACTTGGGTGGCAAGCATTTCGATGATGACAAAGAGGTTGAACCAGTGGTGCGGAAGTGACTGAGAGAACAGTCAAAAGACTTTTATGATGCGGGTTCTGACGCACTAGTAAAGCAATGTGAAAACTGTATCAATGTTGGTGTAGGATATGTTGATAAATAAATGTTTCTTCCATCTTCAAATATCACATGTTTTAGGTTTTATATCTATTTGTGAAATATTTACTGATTCCCCCTCATAACCGTCTTCTATTTTCTACAGATACTCGATATTCTGCGGATACATTCCAGAAGAAGATACATAACCAACAAAATGACATGCCAATATCTTAACCTTTCAACCAGGTGAGGTGGTGTAGCAGCAATGATTTACAATTTTATTCAAAAGGAAATCTACTAAAATCTTGCCTGGAGCACCAGCCAGACTGCCTGCCTGGACGGAAGGTTTCCGTGGTTTCATTCAATCAGTCCATACAAATACTGGGATAGTACCTCAACTAGGCCACCACTGCTTCCTTCCAAATGCTTTCTAATTCATCCTATCATTTGAAGCTAGGCAGTGACATTATAAAACAAACCATATACCATTTTGGTCTACAACCTTCTCTACTTACCCTGGTTCAGTTGAGAAGTAATCATACTGTGCTTTGGCACATGGCTGGTTGGGCTGTACAACATGCTGCTTTGGCACTGCGTGCACTCTGGTATCAGGAGAAGAAATTGTTGCAGCATGTAGGGCCACCTGCTGCTGTTGTATTGGTGCCATATGCTGAACTGTAGCAGGGGCAGGGGAGGGACCGCCTTGCAAGCGGTTTGATAGAGCATTGCGTTTCTTGGGCGCTGAATTTCGCATTCCTTCAAGAATCCGCATGAGAAGGACATTTGGTGGCAAGTCCTCTATTTTAATCTCTACAAGAATGCGACATTCAGGGCATCTCAGCTCTTTGTGAGTACTCACTATCTCCTCTAGACATTTCTTGCAGAATGTGTGCTGACATGGCAATACTTTACTAGAAGTGTCCAGCCGTTCAAGGCATACTGAACATTCCAGTAAATCATTCAATGTCCACTCATCCATTCTGTAGCACTTCCCTCTGTTAAATTAATCTGTTTCTCTGAATCAGTTACGTTTCCAAAATTTACTTACTATCATTTTTTACAAGCTGGTCTACTTTGACATATGTAAATAAAAGAGTACATTACAGCTGTAATTTCTGTGAACTATAAATTATCTTTAAAAGTCTTCAATACAGACTGCATTCCTGTGACTGGGGCATCTTCACATAGTTATACTGAACAATGCAAAGACGATGCTGTGTTTTCCTTCTACTTTACAAGTCATCTCTGTTCAGACATGAGCTTCCTTCTGTCTCCAAAAAAAATTCCTAACCTCACTGGCAAATGTACTATTAATCCCATTGGTTCCAAACCTGTATCCAGTGACTTATATGTACAACAATTCCAAATACCGGAATTACAGAAGAAACTACTCACTTAAAAAAAAACTATCATACCTTTTTCTATGCAGTCCTTAAAACGTGAACCGATCAAAACCCCTACCTAGCCATGCACCTACAGAAAGGTCTCGAACTCCTACAACTCCATTCACTTTAGACAGCAGATGGTCAACAATATCAATTAAATGCCGGTAACAAGTCTAAAACAAATGGACATAAGCCATTTTTGGCAGGCCTCCTTAACTTTTGCATTTATACAAACTATTAATGGTACAGAATGAATAATCTACTAAATTAGGCTCACTCATGGTTTAAGGCCCTAAATATACGCTCACACACTGCTTCGACGCTTCATGTGAAATACTTTTCATTGAAAGATCGGTTAATAAAATTTCAAAGCAACATAACCATGACGAAGACTTGGGGTGATCACTTTCATTTCCATAAAGAGTCGAACTAAAATCAGTCACGTAATCAACACTGGCTGTAGAAAGACTGTTATATACTTCTTCGTTCTCGCCACTGACATGTTCACTATATGGTGTGCATTCCCATACACAAACGAAACAAAAAAAAAATACAAAATAACTTCAACATACATCCATAACCAGATGAATCAATCACTCCTCCGCCCCCATCACCATTTCCGGCTTTCCGCTAGCAGGTGTAGGACCTGCTTTGCGATGCAAGACCACAGCCCGTTCCCAGCACGCAGCGTTCAGAGCAGAAATAATTTAACCGACCATCTATTGTCTCCGTTTCATATATTGTGCACATAACTCACATATTTATCATACTTATCGTTTGTAATGTTTTCAATGTTACCACCCTCCGCCGTACCCAACATTACGGCGGAATGATACATAATTTCAAAATCGGTCCAAGACATTTTCACGCTAATAAAATAGTTTCAAACTGTGGTCCGCATACCATAAAGAAATCATAGTATGAACGGTAACAAATACATTTATTTAATACCTGAACAAAATACACGAATTTACGCAACCTGTTTAAACCAACTGTGTATTTAATGTATGACAACCTCTGAATTGTTAAAGTTAAAATGCTAACACATAATTTTCACCAAAAATGTCTTAATTATCCTAGAAAAGTGGAATTTCCTTTCACCATGAATTTTATTTATTAAATATTTTAAATTCAACAGAAACTTTTGCCAAATGCAAAACATATTTTTTAAGATTCAAATTTATTTGCAAAGAATTGGGCAACATGCTGGGAAGAATACCAGCAGAAAGGCTCCAGACTACAATCACAAAATGCCTGCATCCATATTCTTCCTTACACGCTCTAAATGAATTACCGCTGCTATAATCTGATGATAGTTATATTACAAAAGCAGAAAACACACTTCATTTTCCACGTCTAGCACTTACTATTACAGATAATGAAATATACTGACAGCATGTGAAGAAATAATCTATAGTACTCCTTGAAAATAAATTACTGGATTCATTGCAACTATCATTCTGTGGTTTACATTTTACAAGCTTGGCTACAGGAAGCAGGCAGGCAGGCAGGTAAACTCAACTGTATACTTTGAAAATAATCTTCTCAACATTATATACATTCCACAAAACCCTTCTCTCTTCATCTATGAAGCTACAAATACCAAGACGCAAAGAAACAGAACCACTACAACATCAGGTTGAAGAATTATTACATCACATTAAATGGAGTCAAGAGATAATTTTTTACAAGTTCATTTTCGCCAGCTTCAAGGTAACTTAAAAATCATAATAATACTTCTGATGCTGACATTAACATTATCCTTCAGAAAACTAATACAACTACATTTACATTAGAATCAGAAGTACACAGCAGAAATTATTTGTAGAGATGTGATACACAAGTGATTACACACCAGACACATTTCTAAAAAACATCACATAAATTAAGAACTCATATCCCAGCGTATATTACCTCAAACATTCCCTCCAAGCTATTGCTGGCTACAAGCAAGTACATTAAAATGAAAACTAGCAGTGTTCTATATACACATGGTAGAAATTCTGGAAGGGCAATGAACAAAAGACATCAATTAAAGAACTCTACAAGAAAGAAAAAAAATCCAAAAAGCTACTTCTTGTAATTCAGTGGCAGCTTATAGCAATGCCATGATAGTTACAATTTAATTGCAAACCATCACACACTTATATGCAACTTGCTTACCTACAGACTACTGTTACAGTTTATATTCCTTGTAAATGTAAATTTCTCTCCTTTATCATAAGTCTGTGATAATTATCAGATGCAGTTTTCTCATTCACAAATACGTTTCAGTGGAATGACAGTGGGTAAAAACTGAAGAAAGTCGAAGAAAAACCTGCTCCAGTGCTAATTTGTAAACCAAGAATCTCACATGAAGCCACTCAGGACTGAAAATGAAGGACGAGAAGAAAGCATCTAGCAATCTGCCTCATCACACAACCTACCTATATTACAGACCTACAACTCAACAAATTGTTATAATTTAAAATCAAATCCTTTCAAAACCATATTATTATACCAAAAATCCGTAGCTTTTCAAAATCAATCACAGATTCTTAACAGATTCACTAGAGTCTTGTTACTACAAATTAAAATAAAGTTCATAATGAAACAAGACAAAATACCTGTCCCCCCACCCCAAATACTTACATTATGTGAAGGCAACTGGATTTCAATCAGTCAACATACGCTGAGACATCAGAGATATATTGATCTTGACGATATTAAAAATATGAACACCTATTCTTGCACAACACTTGAATGTAAAAATAAGCATGCAAACATACAAACAATTGTGCAAGATATGAGGCTGTCAAGGCAGTGACTATGAAAAATATTGCGGTCTTGGTGGGATGTGATGTACTCTGTTAGACTGTTACAGGGGTCACATCCAAGAAAACAATAAACTTCAGCTGCCTAGCAGTGTTCCTTTTCTTCCTGATGAAATTGTCTATAATGAACTTAAACTACTACACACTTATAGAGATGTTAAGTTTCTTTGTGGTCACATTGTATGAATCAGGTATATATTTTTCAGATCAAATGCCAGGCTCTTCCAGGGTTTTAAAATTGCATAAGGGTAATCCACTGTTTGCAAAAAACAAAGATCAGCAATTAGCAAATAATACTGTTCAGACAGCAGTAATGTTCTGGACCTGTATTTGGGACATGCTCAGTTCGAATCTCTGCCAGGAAACTTGCTATCCTGACCAACAATCTTCAAAGGTTCCCTCAGACCCTCAGGCAAATGCTGGAATAGCATTTCAACTAGGCCACAAATGATTCCTTCCAAAATTTTTTCAGTTTATCATTTATCAATTACAGTGCTACTTGATGCTACATTCTGATTACTGATAGCACTGCAAAGTAACATTATCATACAAGTAACGTACTTCATAAATTTAAATTTTGCTTGGAATTCACACATCTTTTCCAAACTTTATATGTTAAAGAGGAACACAGACATAAATAATACAGGGTTATTCACAAGTCCGTGAAACATTTTAAAAATTCACAACAAATAAACTATGCATCAGATCATGGTAATTCTTACACTGATAGAGAATGAATCTCTCCAAGTTTTCTTTAAAAGTCTCCACTGCCTGCTAATCTCAGGGATCTTTGCAACTGTATCACAGCTGCTGTGGCTCTGGTCAACCATATGCTGACATGGGTGTGGGACGAAATGGATTATCGCATAGATGTCTGCCGTTATCAGCAAAGGTGGACATATTGAGTATCTGTGAACTATGTACAAAAAACTCGGTGAGTTTATCTCTATTTCAGTGTAATAAAATTTAGTATGCATTGCGTAGTTTATTTATTGTAAATTTACAAAACATTCACAGACTTATGAATAACCCTGTATATTCACACAAATTTCACTTTGGACAGAAGAGCCCAGTATATCCTCTGGATAAAGAGTTACTCTCTTAAGTACACTGAAAATCATTCTCCCTTCTTGTTTCTATTTGCATTCCTGCTAACTTTAAAACTATTATTCATATAATACAAACAGCTGATTCCATTTATGGCTTATTAAACCCTTATTCTGTGAATTAATAAAGTCCATAAGCTGTCCTTTAATTAATCATGCCATCAAGATATAGGGGGAGGGAGGTATTTCCTAACATATACCAATCTCAGCCCTAGATGGAGATGAGCTGTCAGCTTCACTCTGCAATTGCTTTACCCCATGGGAAAGAGCCCCAGTACCTTGAATAAGAGGGTGGGTGGATCCCAGAGCCATTGTGGATAAGGTGATGGAGATATATTCCTTTCCCTGTCAGGAATCAAATGCAGGTCACCTAGCTTGTAGCTAGTCACTGCACAGAGTTGTGCCAACTCATGTAATGAAATTCACAGAGCCTTCTGCTGTTACTGTTTAACAGAATAACACAGAATTAGCATCATGACAGTCTGCCGTGTGACAACTTAGTTTATGGTTATGAACATATGAAAATTATTTGTACACAGAACCAATAACTTATCTGTAGTTCTGTGATGACAAAGGGAATTTATGGTACAATTAAACAACTTGGAAGTCTCTCTTAAAAATGAATACTGAGGCCCAAATTATTAACAGTCTTTCATCAAACTCCCACAATCTTTTCACATGATTATTCTGTCTATATTATAACTTGAATTTTTACCTCCATGAAAACACAATTACACTGACTTACAATGCTCTTTCAAACAACTCATGTTAATCCAGATACCTTACAATTATGAAACTACTATCCTCCAATGAAGAGAAGACAAGGAAATTAACAAGGTCTGCCTGCACGTAGTGGGGCAAGCTGAAAACATATGCACGATTCTTGGGTGATTCTTACCAATATCCTTGGTACACTTCAGCTCAATGTATCCCTAAACGAACACCAGAATAGCCAAAGTTGACCATTTGCCTCGCCTTTTCTTCACAAGAGGACAGTATATCATATGGAGAGATAAATAAATGGCTACTGAGACTTAGAAATACATAAAGTAGTGCATTTCTCTTAATAAAAAACAGATGAAGACTACATAAAAAACAAATGGAAATAAAAATTACATAAAAACAAATGAAAATAAAAAATTGTCAAACTTAGTTCACTACTTCACAAAAAAATTTGAATTTTTTAATCCCCACACTTAGTATATACTTGATGGGCAATTAGGTGTCTTACTACACATTTGTGATGTATGCAGAAAGCAAACAGATGGCCGGATTGGTGATATTAATGACACCTGTCACTCCACCCTTCCTAAAAGTAGCAAAATTACATCCAAACAGAGTCACCTCTATATTCAACACGGAAAATATTTGATTAAATTGCCTGTCTATCCACTATGATATTACGAATGATTAACAATAATTAGGGATATAAATAAAACTGATAGAGAAGCACATCAGAAATGACAGAATTTTGTAATTCTTTTATTAGTTTTGCTTGTATAAAACACAATCCCTATGCCAAGGACATAGTTGCTTTTCTTGGCAGTACCACAACACACAGTAGGCAAAAGTTTAGAGAAGGAATAACAGCCAAATTAAAAAATTAAATTTACTTGTAATTAAAAACAATCAATAAGGAACTGAACTACAGCCAAAAAACCTATCACAGTACTTGTGCACCACACGAACGGCCACATACATATTGGAAAGTCTATACAGCAAATTTTTTAATACCTTCAGATTTCCCATATTTGGTTTGCAGTACAAAGAGGGACAAGGAAATAGGAAACAGGCAGGAAACCAACCACTTCAGGGCCACTTGTCCATCACAAATCACACATAACTGACCTGGGACTGAACCGAGTCCACTGAAGGTGGAAGCAGACGACCAATTGTCTCAGCTATGACACAGGTATCCTCCAATTTATGAAGCCAAAGTAAAGTAACACATGATTGTAAGCATATTTCTCATTATATTTTGGTATTACCATATCAGGAAACAAGAGAGAAATTAAACAATTTTAAGCGGGGTGGGGGGGACAGAACTTTGCAGCAGGAGTGTAATGGCCAACCTGCACTGTAGACAAGAGCAGTTACAGTTACCAACAGACCAACTTTATATGTCAGGATTTATGAAAATTAGTATATTTCTGACTTTCCTGACTAAGCTGAGCTTATGACTGTAAGCCTGCTATGCTACAATTGTTCAATGCCACTTTTTTTGTCTCTTCTTAAACCTTTCCCATCCTATTTCCAACCTCACTCATGCCAGCTACAAATCTTGTAAATTAAAAAACTGTTAGTGCATGTGAAAAGATGAAACTTCTGCAATCTGATCAGAATTACTGGGTTTTCGGACTTTGTCCATCATCCGGTCTTCTAGAAACTATAAGTCTTCTAGTTTCTAGAATACCAGACAACTGAGGTCTTCTAGTTTCCAGAATACTGGAGCATGAACAAAGTATGATAACCCAGTAATTCTGAGATATTATACACCACAATCAGAACCCTTTTGGATCTACTTCTGCAATGTCTTGTTCCTGTACAGAACTACAACAACAGAAGCCAAACATACAGACCAAACACTCTGTATGCAATCATGAGTAACTTCAAAAGTCTGTTGACACAAGGCTTCCAAAGGTGTATCTGTATTGGAAAGTGATGATGTCAAAAGTCTTCAGAGAGGAAATAAAAAAAGAGTTTAAGAATCTTCGATTATCATTCTTTGCCAACGGCATTAAGTGTGACCAAACACAACAAGTTTCATGGTTGTGCTATTTAGACAGAAGCCAAAGTTTTCCAGTTCATTCAAAGTGTTGCAGTTGGTGATTTGCAAATACTTCTTTTAAGTTATGAAAAGCCAATGCAGAAATCTGAACAGTTGAAACACAAAAATTACAGCAAAATGAAATGTCTCAAAATTATATGACTGCCACATACTACACATGTATCATGCAGACTGTCAATATTAAGAAATTTTAGACCAGAAATATTTTGGTAAAAATAAAGAAATGTAGTAAAGTTCATGGACTGCATTACACTACAACTGCACATATCAATGGTCAAGCTGGCCGAGCACTGTTTTCAGCAATATTAATACCATTACCTCCAAGTTACACCTGACACCAGGGATTTAAAATGCCTATTCCTGGACAATACAGGTAAATATGTTATATGAAAAAATTAATAATAATAATAATAGTAACATCAATTACTTTCCATGCCTACATAGAAGCCAACTGTTGGGATTTTTATAATCTCAGGATGAGTTTACTGTACAAGCGGAAAGATTATTAATAGTGAGCCTTAGTAGAAGAAGAGCAGTCGCTCCTGAGCACTTCCTGACAGAAGACGCCATCCTCGCTTGATGTTCAAATACTGGATGATGGCACGAACACAAATTAAGAGTCCTGAAATAGTAAACATTACACATTATTTGTCTTTCTTTGCTGTAAATTTACAACAGCTCCTGGAGAGGAAATACTAACTTCCTTATTGAGCAACCAGACAAGTGCCATGTCATAGAAAAAGCCCCAAACTCATGATGAGTACAGAGAAGGGTGGAAGGGTAATTAGCAGAGGAACAAAAATAAAGTGAGAGAATAGCCAACTCCAGTACTACTTCCTTCACCACATATCCCACAAAAAGTAACCTGGGCTTGAATCCAAGCCTCCAAAGTGAAAACCCCACATCTAAATGCCTGAGTTAGAGCATGACCCTCTTTGAACAGATTGATGTTTTAACACACTGACTGCCATTGCAATTTTTTACGTTTCTTTTGTACCCAGGCCACCACATTGAGACACATGTTGATTGTATACCACTCTGAATTGTTACAGAGGCTGATGTGTGTTGGTACCCGGAAGCTATATTGAACAGTCACTTACTGCATGCAACCAGATCCACAATGATGTGAACACATAATCAGGCACTAGAGGACAGAAAACAGTGTCCTCTGTGGCACTCAGCATGATAATTAATCATACTTCAAAGAAGCAGTGTATTACAAAAATTGCGTCATTTCATTAGATAGCAATGCTTACCAAGGCTTGCACTGTCTTAACCTTTATCAGCCGGGCCATTTAAATTCCGGTAATGGCCGCGGCAGCAGTTAATTTAAATGCCCGCCATCGTAGAGTAATAAAAATTGTAATCATGTTACTCAAAATGCTGTGATTTCTACAATTTTTGTGATAAACAAACGAAATAAATGCTACTTTGATCTAGAAAGAATATAGAATCAGATATTGTAATTTACAGATTTTAGAATCTGTAAAAATTGTTACATTTATTCCAAAAAAAATTCCCCAATTTTGAGCGTCAGTCACAAAAATGCATAAAGCTTCTGCACAGAACGTTTCTGCAGTATAAATGCATGCTGCTGACACACTGCCTATATTTTATCTGGCAAGAGGAGAGGAGGTTTATGTTTTCATTGCACATTCTCCAGTCACTCATCTTACTGTATACACGAGTGTGAGTGAGTTCTTATCCTACTTTGTCCTTATGAAACTCTGTCTGTTTATATGTCGGATAAAACACACAGAGGTACTGTTCTTGGAATATCCCCTCAATGCCCCTTGCGTCCTCGTCCCTTCAGAATCGACTGTACCGCATTCTGAATGGTGTGATTTACGAGCGGCCTCTCAATTTCGGCTTCTTCCACGCGAAATGGGGCCATGGTGCATAGTTGAAATTGCGATGTTTTATAAGCGTTACAAATAGAGGAGACCACTCGCCATCACTGGCCTACTTCCTGCTAATACAAGACTGATGCTGCATGTGTGCGCTTCGCGTGGAAAACAGAGTTACATTCGGACAAAGTGAATGAATTGCGACGTCGGACTCTGCATTCAGTTACATGCAACATTCAGTTAGATGATGCAGGAGGGAAGACAGTCTACTTATAAAGCTGGTGTCCAAAAATAATGTAAGTAGAACAAGAATTTCTATCTTAAAATTAGATTTTAAAACACTGTGGGCACGCGTGGACTGTGAGTCACAATACGGTGTCGTTTGGCCACTCGGCTTTACTTTAAAGGTCCCCATACAGTGTCTTTCGGCTCATAAAGGTTAAATACTAAGGCATCACACAACTTCAAACCTTCCTTTGATAATATGTTACTTTCAAACTACTTCTTACATCATGATCTCAAGGACGAACCCCACCACAATGTCAGAAAACATGATATAAAAGGAAGTCATGCCTCACATTAGAGATCATTCAACTGAACATTGATAAAATAGAGTTTGGATGAATTAAATACTGTTTCTGATATGTTTCTATCACTCACCATCAGGAAAGGTATGATGAATGAACTATGTTTTCTGTAACATTCCTGTAATAAAGTTATCTTTGTGCTTAACCAATTAAGCACTACGCCACAAAGATGCATGGGGGAGTGGATGTATAGTTCCATGTATTCTTAACCTTGGCACTAGTTGGAAAAAAGTGGTGAGCCTCACGCTCCAGCTGATTTATCCCCAGTACCAACTGGATAGGAGGCTGGGTGGGCCCCAGAACCTGTCGGGACAACGTGGAGAAGAGAAAAATCATGGCCCTACCAGGTCTCAAACTCTGACCCCTCTGCCGTCCAGCCCATAGCCAGTCGTTATGCCGACTGCACTATCCTGGCTCCCTCTTAACATTAATGTATACTGTATCAAAATATGTTAATGATTCAACATTACCAAAAGCCATTATGAGCCACCAAAGCCAACTGTTTTCACGGGAAGCCAAATCAGTTGAGTGCTTGACAATAAGTGTCCACTTAGCCAGGGACAGTCCAAATCCAGATAAGGCTCCGTAACGAGCAGCAACTGTGTGACAGAAACACATCAGCAGCAGGAAACCAATCCAATTGAACAGGAATGCAACTGGAAAAAAAAAAACAACAGAGACAACGTTATTATTCTAAGAAGCAAGAGACCCAAAAAGGGAGCAACTTGTGGCAAAACATCACTTCTGACTGACAGACTCGCAATGGCAAATGACTGCCACTGAAAACATTCCTCTGTAATTAATGGACTTACATGAAGACAGATACTCAGACACATGTTTACAGTTTCCAACCTGATAAACGAACCTGCTACCTGGAAGATGGAGGCAGTATGTTCCTCTGAAAAACTGATAACCACCAGACCACACAGTCATTTCCCAGCAGAGCACATTCTGATGTCTTTTAACTTATTTGGACAATAACATATTTCAGAGGATTTACTACAAAAAAAATGGCAGAACTTTCCTGCAACAATATTACTGCAGGACAAATTCATAAATAAAGAATGACAGTCATGGTGGCATTCTTCTTTTGTGAGTTATTTTATGATACTTTCAGCAGCTAAAGATTTAATGTGGATCTACTGGACAGATGAATGACGAACAGGAGGGGATCTACACTGTAATAATGTGTAGTGTTGTAGGTGGATACTGTTTCAGGGGCACATGCTGCTTCCATCTTCAGGATAAACCCCGAAGATTATATCTGAACATTTATGGCTGCGAAAACCTGAAAACTTATATGTACAGCTGTTCCTTTCGATTCACAAGGAAAATTATCGAAGTTTGCATACAGAATTAGTTACACGGGAAATACACACAAAATCAAATGTGAGGAGTTCTCTATCTTCTGTGATATAACGCCATGTAGTCTGCTGAAAATTAACCAGCATTTCACAGGAAGATTGGCTGACTTCCAGAAGATACAACTCTTCATAACCCTGGAAGTGCGAACTTCAAATCCTACAAAATCAAGTTTGTTTCTGGCAAGGATAGAAATGGAACCATCTGGGGAAAGGTACTAAAAAAATGCAATTAAAAAATTAAGTCTTGAATACTGTAATACATGAAGGGAGTTCATGGAATGATGATGACAGCAGAGAACCTGTTCCAGAATAAAGCTTCAGACTTCAGTAAATGAAAACAATAACAACAAAACTCATTAATTCCTGTCTATCCTTCTGTAAGAATTCCTCCTATGTGCCCACTCTGTTCTGTACATATTCCTATCACACAGTTGATCCATCTACTACACAATCTCATCAATGGTCATTTGTTTCCACATCTGATGCTGTCAAGTGAATTCTATTTCCTTCCATGCATAACACCATAGAAATCTGCTCAACCTGTGCTTGGTAGATGCCCAGTGTGACTCTCAGCTGCTTGCTTGAGGTTTTTCATCGTTTTACTAAGTCCCTCCAAAGAAAGCATTAGGGTAGTACCTTACCATAGGTCATGACAGCTTCCTTACACATCATTTCCAGTTCATTATTCACTGTCACTTGATCATTAAAGCTATACTGAGAGTTAATGACTGCTAAATAAATGTACAGATCCATGTGTAACATATGTCCTTATTTTCGTAAATTCATCTTACAGTGAATTACACACAAAAAAGTCTTTTACTATACTTCCTGATCTCACAATTCATCACATATGAAAGCTGTCCCTGTGATTAGTTAAGCAGCATACCATGAAGATATGGGGGAGGAGTGGAGGAATAGCTCTAAACATTCTCAATGTGTTCAAGTGAGTCATCAGTTTTATGCACCAGCTGGGTTCAAGAGCCTGTCTGCACACTGTATTGTGAACAGTAAATATAAAACATAAACAGTGAATTAATTCATTCCACTGTAAACCTACCCACATAACGACAGTCAAAGAATACTATATTTACTTCTTTACTTACCTAAAAATGCTGTGAAGAACATAAAGTCTGTTCCCAAAAGCCCTGAATCACTGTCTCCATCTGGAGATTCTGTATCAATAGCTAGGAAGGCTAATGGTACTCGAGGTGATGATGTGTGTTCACCTTCCAAAGTTTTCTCCCGCTGAACTTCTTCATAAGTTGGTAACTTTGTAGCGACCTCATACGGTGGGGGAGCAGAAAAATCCGGCTTTGGGGGAGGAATATCTTCTTCATCAGCCTGTTTTTCGAAGTTCAATACCAATTAACATATCACAAAAAAGAAATAACTATCCTGTATTACAGACTGCAGATGTAACATAACAACAGGCTTACAAATAGAAGAACAGGCTGCCACAATAAAACATCTGAAGTAAAGGACACAGAGCAAAACAAGTGGATGATGCCCCTTGTGAGGTGTAATAACAATTTTATAAATTTTAAAGGAAACTGTAATAGATTTATTGATTTAAATTTAGTGAACTACAGCGTGTGCTATTTTATAGCATACCAATTGACAAGTATGACATTTTAAATCATGAAGCATGCAGTTGCAATGTGACAAATGGACATTATTAGTAGTGTAGCAGTTTTAGCATAGTAAGACATCTGAAGACGGCCATTTATGGCCGAAACATGTGTTGAAAGTGAAAGTGTCAGAAAAAATGAACAATTTGTTGCACTGTTGAAGGACTGTGTAGTACAATAAACGGTATAAGACATAACTAACTGCACAAACCTACAGAATATGGTAAAAAAAAGTAAGCTATCCCTGTACTAGGCCGTGAAGGCCCATAGGGTCAGAATATGGTAACATGTATATATATATATATATAGGATGTTATTGCTCTGAAATATAGTGGGGGCATTCATTTATTACCAACATAATATGCTGAAGTTTCAAAAGAAAGTAGGGAGATGGCAATAAGAGCATTCTGCTGCTACAGATCTATATGCCAGATTGATATTGCCTAGGTCTTTTATGTATATACATTTATTTTGCAAAATTAAAAAAGTCAAGATATCTACATAACAGATAATATGCAGGAATATTTTTTTAGTTTGTTGTTAATAACACTTTCATTATTGGAACTACATAATGTTGATGACATTAATGACATATTAATAGTGGGGCAATCGGTGGAATGAGAATTAGCAAAGGAAACAGAAATACTTCAACAAAGCCTGCCCCACCGCCATTTTGTCCACTATAAAGATAACATGACCCAACCTGAGATTGAATTCAGGCCACTGCAGTGGATATTAATTTGATGTAATCATAACCTTCTGTTACACTGTTATAGTATCACAAAATATTAACTGAAGTACTATTCTAACCTAACCTACCCTAACGAAAACTATACCACACAACATAAATTTCATTCACAGCAAATGTTATTAATTTTTTTGTTCAATGCTAAAAAACCCTAACTAAAGCATTAACTTAATCGTACCCAGTAAGAACTCATTCACCTAAGTTACATTCAGACCAAGAGCATTTAAATTTTTTGATGTAACCACACCCCACCATCTGATCTATCAAATTTCATGCCAGCAGAAGTCCCTACCTCAAAAATAGGTAATCATGTTCTCAGAACATGTCACCACATTCTGAATGTTCGCCCAAATAACACAGTGCGCAATAAAATGCGTGTGACAATAAAACAGCAAGTACACATATATACATTTCAACTAATTACCTGATCTTGGCCTCGAATTGAAGATGGCAGTCCAACAGTTGTCATTTCAGTTTGAGGCAATGCAGTAGCGGGAAGAGTAACTGTCAGACTGACAGCAGAAATAGGTGGACGCTGATCTGTTGGGGCAGTAGGCTGCAAAATTTAAAAGACAAAGAAATATATGTGCATACCACACTTCAGTATGTCAATAACAAACTGCCAAAACCTCAAAATATATTTGATACAACATTAAACAAAACCCTCCATGCCAAATAAACTGCATTATCTGTCACATCCATGATACATCCAATGACCTCCAACTTGTTAAAAGTAGGATCATTGTGAAACCTTCGAGAACCAAGTCTAAAATTTATTTCTTACCACGTCACAGCGTGTACTTCTATCCATTGTTTAGATGTATTCACCAAATTTAACGTAATGAGAAAAACAATGACAAACAAAAATCATTCAAAGACGACAAAACTTCCAAAAATCTGCTTATATTCTTCAACATCAATCGATGGGTCACAACTCCTCACTCTGATGACGCGTTCGGAAATCGTACCCAGAGTCCTAGGTGGCAAAGATTATTTCCAATCTTTCCAACGTCATTCCACCGTTCCAATGCACAGTAGTGAAAGTTATGGAAAAAGGAAACCGGTCGTTACTTGCGAGAAAGGTAAACGGAATGGGTATAGTAAACTCTTCAGAAGGTAATGCCTCGCAAGTGAATTATTTTATGTGTCACAAGTTTCCGCTGCGTAAGGGCCATGACATTGTACATTGTACTTACCCACAGCGTATAGAGGTAAGGTAAAAAGGTGCGGGATGTCGTTGTATGAAGAAACAACCACTTGTTGAACCGTTTTATAAAATTTTTATTTATTTATTTATTTCGTCTATATAGATCATTGTTACATGATATAGGACAAGTCAGTTACTGTACATTGGCTGATTACAGTAAGAGAATAAAGTTACAATACCCAGAATTGTTCTCAGTAGATTACAATAGTTTTTATAGTTGCACAGTATACACAGACGAATTTGAGTTTGAACACTAAAAATATAATAACAATAGTAAACTCTATGACATCTTGAACATTGTATTGACTAGCACACGATCCACCGTGGGTGCTTCCCATAGTCACATGTTGTTGTAGACCATACATAGCAAAGACTGTTTACTTGCCATTGCTAAGCAATGGTACTTGAGCTGTCACTGTAACGTTTGCTTGAATGTGGGCAGTTCCCATAAAGGTATAATTGCTCCTGTGCTTAACTGAGCACTATGCCATGAAGGCCTATGGGGAAGTGGATGTACAGATCCACATTTTCTTGACTTCGGCACTAGCTGGAGGTGAGCGATCAGCTTCACGCCCCGGCCGCTTTACCCCCGGGGAAAGAGCTCCTGGTACTCATTGGATAGGAGGTTGGGCTGGCCTGGGCAACGTGGAGAAGGGAAAATTCTTGCCCCCACCAGGACTCTAACTCCAATCCCTCAGTCCAGCCTGTAGCTGATCACTATACTGACTACACTATCCCGGCCCCTATTATATAGATGATTGTTGTAAATATTGTCACATGTCACGCCAATTCGTGCTAAATGCCCTGCCCATCTCATCCCCCTTGACTTGATCATTCTAATTATACTTGGAGAAGAGTACAAGTTATGAAGCTCCTCATTATGCACTCTTCTACAACCTCCTGTCACTCCATCTCTCTTCAGTCCAAACACCCTCAGTCTGTGTTCCTCCCTTAATCTCAAAGACTAAGTTTCATACCCATACAGAACCACACAAAATTATAGTTTTGTATATTCTAGTTTTTGTTTTTTTAGTTTTCTCTGTTTACTTCTACACCAACCTCCTTAGTAGCATCAATTAACTAGTAGATTTTGATTATGTAAAAGCTAATTTGGATGTGACTTGGAACATGGACTGCAATAAGAATTGTCACCAAATTACAGACTGGTTATAATCTTGGTAGTTTTTTGTATATGACCCTCATCTGATATCCTTGTACAGTGATCATTTATGATCACTGCATTTTCCAGAATTGACAGAAGTTCTCAGGAAGGTTACTGTCCCAAGATGCAATTCTGACCTTCTGAATGCAACTCAAAATCCAAGTAATTATGTTACATCAAATAATATAATACAGCTGGATGTGTTATCATCAAAGGAAGGTGTAATGGCATTCCAACAAAGTCGCAACACATTTTCTTGCATAATAACTATCATGTTTTATACTTTATTACAAACAATTATTCCAATTGTGTATTTCTTCATTCTTTACATAACAATAAATATAACACTGAAAATTAATATCCAAATTATATACAGTGAAATGTCATTGCAACAAATTCCTACTTATGTTAAAATGAATGTTTTGGGAAGTGATGGACATATATGAAATTTGTAAATTGTCATATTTATATAGGACCATGCCATAGCTCAGGTCAGGTCCTGGCTTCTCCATCTCAGGTGACTTCATGTGAAATATGTGGTGGATGAAGGGGCACTGCAGCCGGTTATTCTCTGGGTTTCTTCAGTTTTCCCCTGCTGATCACCAATCTATCACTGTCCACTGATGCTTGAGAGCCATGACCAGGTAGCACATTATCATATCCTCTATCGTTAAGTTGGGGGCTTCACCGCTGACCTGGCATTCAGCTGTTTAACGAGCAATGACGTTAGTTAAGGTACTATATTTAGAAGAAAATGAAACAAGGTTTAAACCTCCACTCAAAACCTGCAACAACTGATTTTTACCTGCCAACTGAGTTAACATAAATATGGTGTACATGATGAGTGTAACAAAGCACAAATGACAGACTTTGTTTTGTTTACATGTAACTTCACCATATACTTTACACATGATAATCCACCATTCAATTTCTTTGAATATTTTACTGAGGCTGTTGAAAGAAGCCCACTGGATCAATACCCTCCACATCTCTCTCAGGCTGTCTGCTTCTCCTGCCAACATTTTTCCCTATATTTCCCTCAAGTTGCCCAGCCACTCTGCTCACTCAAATGTCGCAGTAATAATCCTTCACTAACAGCAAGCACTATGGCTGTTTCACATATGCTAGAGGGAAATACAAGAATAGTTAGAGTAACAGTTTGGAGTGCTGCCATGCCCACCGTCTGTGGAACTAAATTTTTGGTCATCAAATAGCACTATTTCCTGTATGAAATGTTAGAAATTAAATTATTTCATCTAGTTTCATTGTGCATACTCCTTCTGTATAGAGACTTCAGCATTTACTTAATAACTGGAATTATACAGAGTCATTCAGAATTAGGTGACACTTTTTTGTATAAACAGCTCGCTATGAGGCCATGTTCTACACCAGTGGCAAAGTGGAGGAGCAGAAACCCCATATGTCCATGGAACACAGACATGATTATCCTTTCCTGATGCATGGCCTGGTTCCCTCAGTCACCTAACTTGACCACAGCCAACTTTTCCCCATGTCACTACATCAAGGATCAAGTGTATCAGCATCCCATCACAAACGCCTGACAAAACGTAAATGAGAACTGTTACCTAGGTTAAGGTGGGACATATGAGACATCGTCTGTATTACCCAAGGACATCATATGGAACATTTGTGAAACAGGCAACTGCACCAGGAAAAAATGTCCAACATAATACAGTATGTTTCACACTTACAGCCTTACTCATTTTTGGGTATAACTGTTGAAAAGTGCAACCTAATTTAGAAACATCCTAACTCCATTTTTAGGATCTGGCTTCATAATGTCATAGTTTTACAGTTCTGTGAATATATCCATAAATCATAACAGTCTAACAATATTAAATGTTACATGTAAGGTTTGACTGGTGTTATTATTACAGCATTATATTCGAGATGTGTTGACAGTAAAATTAAAACCGGTGATTATGAAATACCATGCAACATGCAGAAAATGTACATACCTTATGTAACGTCTCAGTATTATAAAAAGATCGGATTCACATAATTTATAGAATTATGAAGGAAAGAGATTTACTAAAATTAATGAAGCTGGGGGAATATCTAGGAATTTTACAACAGACATAAACACAACAAATATATGAGAGATGTAAGGATTTTTCGTTGGACAGTGTCCACTCTCCGTAGTTGAGGTTACAACTACAGTGCTTCACAGTCTGGCTTTGTCTATGTCTCCTGGTAAGGAATAGGGTAAAGATATTCAGCAAATCCTTGTGACTGGGCCAAATACACATGATGGATAATGTCCAGAGAACATAATAATATCAAACCATTACCAAGAATCTTTATAATGACAAAATGTCTAATATTCATGTGCTAAAACCTTCTCAGGCAATCAGCTGGATCAATGTTGAACTAAAAACTAACATTTCAGACATCTCCTCAGTCTCTTATCATGAGGGCTGATGTGGTGAATGACCCTATGTTACTGATATTTATACCAGTTTGTCAAATCGATGCCTCTTCCCATTAGCGTACTATGCAGTAGGAAGGCAGAGTCAAAACTGCGTGGTCATCCGTCATTCTAACCTATCACCACACAGCTTAACCTGGTGTCCCTGTTGTCAGTTATTCTGTTTTCTTTCTTGGGATTTTTGTGATGTGTGTGTGTTGGAGGTGCCTTAATAACCTGGTGCTGAGATTCTCTGCTTTGCTGAGTTTGAATAGTTCCTTCCTGTTTACATTGTCCAGATGTAATTTTATTTCTGCTGCTTTGCTGTGAAAGCTTCATATCTTACATACTTGATATTCACTTCACATTATTCATTTAAAATCAGGAACAAATTAATTCCCATTACAATGAAGTCTCAATTCCCAGACACTCCCCCACTTATCCAGGATCCCTTAATCTACAGATGCTGCCATTGGGTGGGCACAACACTGGAACTCGACTCTATGGCTCTTGCAATCTCCTCATGAATGCCATGCCCCAACCACAGCAGTTGGAGTTTCTTGTATCTCTCAGGACAGAGCCGCAGTGGATTCCCTCGCCTTAAACCTTGATCTGTCTCACCATATTGATCAAGGTATGGAGGAGACATGAAACAGCCTCTATTTGGACTGGCTAGGAGAAGAATTTCACATTCTCGTACTCGAAGAAATATTCCAACTCCAGCACCACATTCATGGGCATGATAAGTACATGCACCAACTAAAATTTTATCCAGCTCTGTTTGGCAACAGTAGCTCTGAGAACATAGCATCTGACCACAAACCAAGCACATCGTTGGGTTACGGGAGTCTTCATGTTCACTGTTTGGGCAGGTGAAGAGAGAGACTGTGTTGATCAGTTCGCTGTAGTCTGCAGGAAGGGCGACTAACTGGTTCACAGGCAGGGGGACAGCAACAGGAGTCAAGTTTGATGCTCCAGACAAATATTCACGCACCTACAATGGCAAATAAGGCAAAGGTCTTTAAAACTGGTATCACAGAAATCAAAATCAAGCTTGTCAGGCTTTGCATCCATCCTGACAGTTACAATAGCAATAAAACATGTAAAGGATTTTCAAAATAGTATCTTCTTTAGATTAAACATTATACTCATTCACAAATGGCTTCTTTTTTATGGGACACTTATGATGCTGTCAGAGTGTCTACACTGTACAGCAGTGTTTCTCAACTACCAGGCTGCAGTCCAACAAAGGTTGAGAACCACTGCTATACAACAGTGAACAGCAGGATAATCTGTGCACTGGAAAAGACATGGCTGGAAACAGTCGTGGCCTAATGGTGGGAATTAGGAAAACTGTATTAAAAGAAACAAGTCAGAATAGCCAGTGTTCTTGCTGAGATTTGAACCAAGTACCTCCGAAATGTAAGTCTAGAACATTACCACTATGGTAGCCTGCTTGAACAAATAGGTTCTATTAAGTACAAGTGCAACAAGAAACCGGCATGCTCCAGAATTGCGTGTGAATTTCATATAATGAAACAGATACGAAAACTCTGCAATAACAGAGAAGTTCCTAATCATTCTCACACACATACTGATATGCCCTTAATGACAAATTACTACAAACTTTAGACATGTACGGTTAAACTGTTAAAACTTGGCAATATAGTTTTGTCATTAAGTAATAGCCGACAGTTTCAATATTATTTATAGGATAGTTTTAAATTCTTTCACTATCTTCAATGAAAGCCAGAACAGCTCAACTGATATACTAACCAGGTTCTGGACTGGGTAACAAAGGGAACGGGATTCGATTCTCAGTAGGGGAAAGAAATTTTTCTTCTGTCCACAGTGTCTAGATCAACTCTGTGACAAACCTAGCTTCCTACAGAATGGCTACTGGGGCCATTTCTTCCAGCAGTAAAAGCAGCAGGAGCATGGAGCTGACCGCTCCCTTTCATCTAATGCCAAGATTTAAGAACTGTTAAGCTATACACCCACTCCCTCATGGATAATTTTGCCTTTACATTCCCATCAGCAATACAGAAGCAATTCTTACCTTCTCATGCTTTGCCCATTTCACTGACAGATCAAAAACGACAGATGAAGATACCAGTTCATGGTAAGAATTTGGGAGACCCAAATAGGCACAAAGATTTTCAAATGAGTCTCCTCCAACTTCCATAAGTACATCTGGCCCAGGAACACCAGTAAGAAAATGGTAGAATAAAGCACAGCAACGCAGAAATGGAATACAAGCATCTTTAACCTGAAAATTTATAAATATTACAATAGAACAGTTGCTAAAAGTTTCATTCTACAATGTACTAAAAATACAGTCCTGTTTCGTAGAGTCCAACAGTAAGTAGTCTTTCAACCTAAAAGCTTGTTCGGAAATCCCAATATCAAATGAACTCTAAATGTAATACTGAAGAATGTAACTATCAAAGATGTCAAAAATGGTGCTAGCAGTACTTTTTAGTACAGTGTGTGCCAACAAAAGTGGGTGTCTGGGATGTCATGTAGATAGGTATATCAGTATCAAAGCTTTGGAAGAAGCTAATGCCCCATCTTTAAGGGCAGAGCAGTAAGTCATGTGGGGCGGAAAAAAATGCTGATAGAGGCAAGGGATAACAAAGACTGAGTCCAGGGTGAACCAATGGAAGTGGTATAAAATGAAATGCTGTGTCCCTGCAATTGTACATGACAGACCCATCTTCTTGTTAAAGGGGATGTTACATAAGGACTATGACTGCAAGTGTTCAATCACAAAAAAAAAATTACTGGTTGTGAGTCTCAAAGGGCTTGTTACCAAGACGAACTGATTGGTGGTAAACCAACAGTCATAAAGTCACCCTGACTCTGGCATGCAGCTTATTCTGTTTTCATTCTTACCTGTGTCCATACAACACGGGCATCCAACTTAGCTGCATTTTCACCACCAGTCACTGCTGCCACCTTACGAACAGTACTCACAAGCTCTAATATATTGCTATTCACTGCTGACTCTTCTTCATCCACGTCCATTGGCATTATTCCCTCGCTGAAATCAGCTGTCAGTAAAATTTTGACAACATGTGATAGAAACATGAGTTTCAGTGTGTTTAACTCTTGCGTGTTCCCACTTGGAATTGGAGTAGGCTGATCACTCGAGAAGAGACTTGGAAGGGAGAGTGTTAGAGGCACCAGCACTCCAAAACAATCCCAGTCAAAAATACATGGACCATCAGATGGATTATCAAGAATCATTGAAAGCAAACGTAGAGCATGACTGCTTATAATTTCTGGTCGATTCCAAGTGGTACCCAGCACTCCAACAATACGAACTAAACTTTCCAAGCAGTCCTGTCGACGACACGACAGGTCTCCAAGCAATGGTTTCTTCATGTCTCGCAACAAGCATTCCAGAGAATGGATTGTGTATGCGCAAGATTTCCATGTCATCAGTGGTACTCGTGAGTCACCTAGGTGAGGATGGACACACAGACCTTTTGTATATGTAGCTTGAGAATATAGGATTATTATATCTGAGAGGCTGTCTGAAAATTTTGGTTGTTCTGCAAGATTTCTATCAGCTGAGAAGAGGGCTGCAAAATTTGGTCCTGAATCACCCAACTCAATGGCAACTTGATCTAGAGGGCATGTATACAGCAACTGTTGAAGGGGCTGAGAATCTCCATCAGTGTCACCAATCTGAAAATCTGACTGGTTCTGTTCTGAACTACTTTCCTGTGCACGGATGGCCTGGATTCGTGGTGAAGTTCGCCTTGATTCTAAGTTTCGAACACCATTTGTAAGTTTCCTTTTGTACTTCAGTGCAATCTGAAGTCCTTGTAACCAAGCTTCGAAGCTAATATTTGTTTGTGCTGGTTGACCTGATGACTGTGGTGGCTGTAATGCTCCAAGAGGTGGAACTAGAGGCAATACAGTATTACTGAGGCATTCACACAATGGACAAAGAAACTCATGCTTTTCTACGTCGAAGCTTGAGGGCTGACGGAGACGATATGGTCGTCTGTTTTCCTTAGCTAAAATATTGTCAAAATATTTCTGCCAGCAGTGACTGTGCATAACATGACCACACGTGCCAGTGTGTGGTGCAGGGCCTAGGGTTGCAGGAAGCAACAGGGGATCTGGCTGGTCATCCCCACCACTTTCCTCCATGTCCAGGCTTTCTGTTTTACGGCGCTGACAAAGAACTGTAGACTGCTGAACAAATGCTGCTAATACCAATGCTGGCCCATCTGCAGACACAGTCTGATCTTCCTGGCAAAGGATACATGTGTAAGTGTGCTCTGTGGTAACTTTGGATGTCTGATTTGGTCCTAATGACACTGGAGTTGCTTCTAGACTCTCAGTGAGATCCATAGCAGAGTCCCTTAGTTCACCTGTTTTCCCCACTTCAGATGAAGTAGCTTCAAACAACTTTGCATTCTCTTTCATGAAGTTTTTCTGCATGGCTGTCATCTGAGCCATAATCTTTGCTCTCTTTTGAGCTGCCATCTTAGCTCGCCACTCTTTCTCCTCCTTTGCTGTATCTTCACTTTGTGATGTTTCTTGTATAGGTGTTGAAGGTGCAGTATTAGCTGGAACTCCTTGCCTCCTTGGGGCCGCCACTTGTCGGTATTTAGCCAACGTCCATGCCAACAAATCTTTGTGTGCTTCAACCCTTGGATTTGAACACAATTCTTCTATAAGCTGCTCCAATCCCCACTTCTCGGCACGTTCAGTAAAGAGTAAAAACTGGCAATACTGTTTCTCCTCCTCCTGCAAGGCATACCCAATAAGATGTAAGACTTTGTGCAGTTGAGCTTCAGAGAAACTCCTAGCTCGAAGGTTAACACTGCGTTCCAATACAACTTGCATAATATGGAGCATCACATCACACTGAAGCAAATTAGCCATCATCATAAATGCATCTGTTAATGGCGGTAATGGTGGAGGAGGGCAACATTCTGCTTCACCTGCAGCTTTCCGCCTTTTGCGCTGAGTCTCTTCAGATTTTGACAACTCTTCCCTTGTGTAATGGTAAAAGAAGACATTATATTCAGAATAGAGTTCAGGCTTCAGTTCATAGACACCCTTTCCTGTTCCCTGTCCTGGCTTCTTGAATTCAGCAACCTGATCTATAACCCTCTCCATGCCAGTTTCATGGTTCACATCTTCAGGCAACGTTTTGTTCAATTCAGAGTGAGGCAGAGGCTTAATGCACAGTTGCTGGATAAGTTCCTTCTTAATTCGGTCATCAGAAGTGACCTTCCCCACACCTGGAGTATATCTCTCACCCACCAACATGACCAGCACCCCTAAGAATTCTTCAACCAAACTAATGGTTTGCCTCATGCTGTCTTCTTCTGGACTTTTCAAAGTGTTCAGTTCAAACTGGGGATTAGCCCAATTCATTAAATTAAACTTGTTGAGCAGATGAATGAGAAACTCATTGCTCTCAATCAAACATGCTCCAACTTGGAGGAGCACAATATCACGGTCCAACATTTCTGAGCGACACTTCACATTATGATAGAAGTACAACTGATTCAGAAGTGAGTACCCATTACGTCGCCACATCCCTGCGTGCACTTGTGAGATCATTACCTGAAAACATAAGAGTAAAATAAATTACATGAGGTAAGGTAAATTTGTCCCTGTGCTTAACAAATTAACCCTTCTGGGACTCGAAATTATACTATACCGACTGTGCTATCCCAGCTCCCTCAAAATAAATTAAGTACATATAAAAAACTTGAAACATTAATCACTTTTTGATTTCAAAATTTTTGCTCCCTGTACCTCTGCTCCTGGCTTACACCACAACCCAGTTATTTTTAGCATGACACCAGCAGTATCCATTGGTTCACTAAAAAAAGCACAATCTACAGGTGCCCAACAACTGTATTTCATTTTGAAAAAAAAAATTCACATATATACAAAAAAGTCTAGTCAATGCCCATCCAGCCCCCTGTAGCACATTCTTATGAACATCTCATTCCATCATAGCAGTCACCCATCGATTTTTGTACATCTAGTGACAGATTACAAAACATGGTCAAATTATATTCTGATGGAGAAATATTTTGTGATGATGCATTACAGTCAAACCCAGGTCAAATGTGGTAGTCTGAACAAAGCATTTGTAGAGCAGACTACAAAAATATACAAAACTAATTTATTTTTATCGATTTATCTATTTCATCTCTATATTCAAAATACTGGTTTGTAGTCTTACATAAACAGTAGAGAAAAAAAATGTAACATGTCATAGCTTAAAAGCTGAAACACATGATTACTGATTGTCCTTCTCTTGTTCCTTTCCATTTCCTTTCAAATGTAATAGGTTATAAATCCACTTCTTACTGAGAAATGGCTAGCCCTGAAGGTAAAACCTAGTATGGCACTGAGTGTGTGAAGCCACAATGTGTATCACCAGAAGAGGTATTCAAGAATTCACACATTTTGCATATATTAGGTGAAAAGTCCTTGAAATTAACAACGGCAAACAAACTCTAAACACAAATTCTATTAAACAAACTCAATAAATCCAATTATGTTAATCATATTTGATCTTAGATTTTCAACTTCATCACATAGATGTACATACAGTCAACTCTCGATTATCCGGGCTAATGGTGGGGATGGAAGTCACGGTTAATCGAAAACCCGGTTAAGCCAAATTTTATTATACGGGCTGGACGACTGTGAAGGGTCGGAGTTCGAGTCCCGGTAGGGTCAAGAATTTTAACTTCTCCAAATCGTCCAGACCGGCTCTGGGGTCCATCCAACCTCCTATCCAATGGGTACCGGGGGCTCTTTCCCCGGGGGTAAAGCGGCCGGGGCGTGAAGCTGACCACTCACCTCCAACTAGTGCCGAGGTCAAGAAAATTTGGATCTATACATCCACTCCCCCACACGCCTTAATGGCGTAGGGCTTAATTCGTTGAGCAGAGGAACAACTTTACCTTTTACCTTTTAATACCTTCATAATACTA